CCAGCGATACTCAGGGGTTCCTCCTGGCTCTGCACTCAGGAATTACTCCTGGCCGTGCTCCGGGGACCCTATGGGATGCTGGGAATTGAACCCGGGTCGACCGCATGCAAGGCAAACACCCTCCCCGCTGTCTGATCGCTCCATCCCCCTGAAAATTTATTTTTAAAAAAATAGTTCTGTCATGTTAGTGATCTCTTGGACAGGGGCTTAATGACTCCACAGCGAGATACAAGTTTCACACACTTTCCTCCAAGGGAACTTCTTACTGGACTATTCATAACAAGCAGTACAATATAAAGTGCTTTGCATCTGCCTCTGAGGCAGGCCTGGGTGGTGGTGGGAAGATTCGAAATAATGGTGGTGGGATTGATGTTGGAATAGTGACCGTTATTGTGACTGTTATTGTGTAATTCTGGTGAACAACTTTATAAATCACTGTATCACTGTCATCCAGTTAGTCATCGATTGCCTCGAGCAGGCCCCAGTAACGTCTCCTTCGTCCCAGCCCTGAGGTTTATTCGAGGCTCTTTCAGGGTCAGGAGAATGAGACCCATCATTGTTACTGGTTTTTGGCACATTGAATACGCCACAGGGAGTTTGCCAGACTCTGCCGTGTGGGCAGGATACTTTCAGTAGCCTGCTGGGTTCTCCAGAGTAAGAACTAGATAATAAGATGTCACGGCCATGCACTTCCGGGAGCTGGGTTTTATAGTCTCTGGGTCTTGGCCATTGATGGGATTACATGGTGCTGGGGGCAGTTGGTGGGTGTAATGCCTGCATACTGGAAAATGGGGGATCTGGGTGGAGGAGGCCCACTCTCCACTCTCCACGTGTTCGGACGGGCCTCACGCATAAAGGAACCGGCAGAGGAACCCAGGTGCGCGGGACCCGGGGCGTAGATCTCCAAGCCTGCTCTGACTGGGAATGGGCCTCCTCCACCCGGATCCCCCGCCTTCCAGTATGTAGGCGTTACACCCACCAACTGCCCCTGGCACCATGTAATCCCGTCAACGGCCAAGACCCAGAGACTAGAAAACCTAGCTCCTGGAAGAGAACAGCGCAGTCTCCTGCCTCCACGCCTGGCTGTCCTCACTGGGGCCCCTTGGAGGAGGGTGGGTTGAGTTTCCCTCCCCACCCCGAGCAGAGCCCCCGGCAGCTGAAGACCTTTGGTTTCAGCCACAGCCATGCTTAACTTTATAACAATTTTTAAAAAATGAAAAGAGAAATAAAATTGTATTCTAATTCTGTCTTTAATTTTTTTTTTTTGGTGCCACCCTGGCTGTGTGTGGGCGACTCAGAGGGACGACCAAGCCCGCCTGGTCCCTGCACAGCCCTGGGCTGCCGACGCCTGGCCTGCGCCCAGATGCGGGGGCTAGCGAGGGCCTCCGCGCCGGCCTGCGCTTGCCTAGGGCCAGCCGGCGGCCACGGGGTGGGGGAGATGACCAAAGCTCCACGTTTCGCGGGCGCTTCACCTCACAGCCCCGAGAGCCGCGTGCCTGTCGTTAGCACCAGCCGACATACATGAAGCATTCTCTCTTTGCAAAGAAATAAGGAAATTCTGTAATGAAAACTTCCTTTCTTGGACTGGATACTGTGAGACCCATTGTCGTTACTGAATACTTGACTTTGTCCCACGTTAGTGCTGCGTCCGGCGCTGCGGGGCCGAGCCAGGGGAGGGCCGTCAGGGTGAAATCAGCACTCGAGTCACACAGGGTTCCGTCATTCAGGAGATGGCATGAATGCGTGCGTTTATTCAGAGCACAGGTACAGACTTAAGTATGTTTCCACAACCCACCCAAAAGAAAGGAAAAGGGGATGGGACTTGGGAAAGTGGATGGGACGATGAATAGAGCCATGCACCATTGGTCAGTCACCTGGTGACCCTTTCGACCTAATGCTACCCGTTGGAGCGGCCTGCTTTGTCATGGTTTTGACATATCCATAGAGACTATGTTGTTCCTCATACATCATTTACAAATCATTTACGAGGGTGCATTTTCCCCAAACTGAAACCTCCTGTACTGGGAAGTTGCCCAGCTTTGAGCAGGACAAAGGGGGAATGAAAAATCAAGCATTCTTTTACTTGGTCAGAAGGCAACAGTTAGAAACACAGTTTTTCCCTTACATCATTTTATTATTTTTTTTAGACTCTCAACATCTTTTATTTCCCAGATTATCTTTTTTAATTTTTTTTTAATTAGTGGAACACCATGAGGTACAGTTGTAGACCTACAAGTTGTTGTGCTTGGGTTTCAGTTCTACAATGATCGAGTACCCATCCCTCCACCAGTGCCCATTTCAGACCACCACGAATCCCAGTATCCCTCCCACCCCCCATCCCCCCATCCCACCCTTCCTCTGTGGCAGGGCATTCCCCCTTGTTCTTACATCATTTTAAATCTTCTCTCCCCCTTTAGCTGAAATCTTCTCATTTCCTCTTAGGTGCTGTGTTAGAAACGACTTTAATCTTGCGTTCAGTTTACGCTTTTCCGTACAGCTTCCTCACAGGGTAGAATTCCTACTCATCAAGATCCGAATTGTGTATCTGTAGGTGTAATAGCATGAAATTGTCTATATTCTCCAGGTCTCCCGGTTTCGGTGGCACGTTGTTGCCCATCTCTTATGATCTTTGTGTTTCTTTTGTCCGGGTTTTAGCTTTCTAACTTTGAATCCTTTCTGGGTGAGTGTAGCCGAATGTTTCCATTTTACTGGGGTGGGGGGCAGAGGTCACTGATCTTTTCCGTGACTCTTTATTCTCTATTCCTGTTCTTTGTTATTTTCTTCTTTGTACTAAGGCTGGACTCTTGTTGCTGTTTTGTTTCTGTAGTCTTGAGTTTCACATCTGGGATCTGACTTTCTTGTTCTGATTTTCTTTGAGGGCCACTCCTGGCGGTGCTCCTCCGGGCTGGCTCCTGGCTCTTGCCTTAGGGATCGTCCTGGCGGTTCTGGGCACCGAATGCGCTGCCAGGGACTGAAACCAGGTCGGCCCGGGCAGGCGCTCTCTCCCCCTGGGCTGTCTCTTGTCTTGTATTTTCATCAATCACTCAGTCGCTCTGGACTGTAGGGCACCTGGAAAGTTAGGGTCTGGGGTCGGGGAGGTAATTCTGGTGTTACTGTGTGTCTCTTACACATGGGCTATTCCACCATGGTCCCCTAAATGCCACCAGGAGTGACCCCCGAGCACAGAGCTGGGAATGAGCCTGAGCACAGAGCCAGGAGTCAGCCCGAGCACAGAGCCGGGAGTGAGCCCCAGGCACTGCCGGCTGTGGTCTGGAAGAGGCCGGGAAGGGCCCTGGTGTGTTGGGTGTTCCCCTTCCCTGTGGCCATGAGGATCTTCCTCTCAGCGAGGCTTGCAATTCCCCATGTTTGCTGAGTGCCCACCAGTTTCTGTGGTTGCCAGCAGATGCCTGAGGGTCTCCGTGCTGGAGCGGGGTCTGCTCAGGCCCTTCTGGGGCTGGTCTCGGGAGTGGGCAGGGCTGGGTCCTGCAGAGTGGGTGAGGACAGCTAGGGGTTAGGGGGGAGGAACTGAGGCCGGGGCAGCGATGGGCACATGGGGTGGACTGTGGGCCTGCTCAGGACGTCTCACGTGACCCCCACCTCCCTTCCCTGCTCCCCCAGCCTGTCCCCAACGGGCGAAAGTCAGGGGTTTCCCCGGGGAACGTGAACTTCAGACTTGGGGAGTTTCCTCTTGGGGCGCACAGACTTCTCTGAGACCCCCGGGGTGTGTGTGTGTGTGTGTGTGTGTGTGTGTGTGTGTGTGTGTTTTCTTTGGGGGCTCATAGACTTGAAGCTTGTGTCTGTGTGTGTGTGTTTGTGTGTGTGTCTGTGTGTGTTCCTTGGGGGCTCATAGACTGAGGCCTGTTTCTGTGTGTGTGTCGTGTGTGTGTGTGTGTGTGTGTGTGTGTGTGTGTGCATTCACACCCTGCGATGCTCCGGGCTGGCTCGGGCTCTGCACTCCTGGCGGTGTTGGGGGCCACACGGGATGCGGGGCTGGAACCTGGGCAGGCGTGCCCAGGGCAGACGCCTCAGTCTCCCCCCCCCCCCCCACCTCCCGGCCAGTCCTGTCTCCCGCAACTAGCACAGGCTCCTCCCGTGTCTGGGCTCCCGCTGAGCCCGCACTGAGGCTCTTCTCTGACCGACAGGTGCCCCCCGCAGTGTCTGGGGGGTGCATGTGTTAAACCAGCCCCCGCGTAATGCCAGTCCCGCCTCACGGACCAGTGGTTGGGCGGCCCGCGGCAACCCTGCGCGAGAGGCGGTGTGGATGGGTGTCGGGTGGGCCGCTCCCGGCGCTCCGTTGTTGGTGTGCAGCGTCCGATTCGAGGGGTCGTTTCCCCCGAGTATCCGCCTCTTCTGCTGGGATTGACCAAGGGCCTGGGAGTGAAATTCAAGGCTGGGGGCGCCCGTGTCCATGTCCCTGAAGCAACTGGGTCTCTGAAGTGGGTTTTCCCCCATTGTTCGGGGTGAAGCCTGGCCGAGCTCAGGGCTGATCCTTGGGGACCAGGTGTGGTGTGCGGGCTGGCGCCAGCAGGACGAGAGCCCTGCACACTGTGCTGTCTTTCTGGCCCTGGGCCTGGTCATTGAGAATACAGAGAGGAAGGGATGAGATCGTGAAACACAGATCGCTGTCCCCGCCCGGGCGCTGTCCTTGGCCAGTGACCTGTGACCTTGCCAGTTGATCTGCTTACTTTTCCTCCCCTCCCCTCCCAGGGTGCTTGGGCTGCACCCGGCTCTCTTGCTCAGGACTCACTCCCTGGGTGTCGGGGCGCGCACAGCTGGGCAGCACCGTGACCTCGGGCCCCCAGCTTTTCCATTTAGGACTCGCGGGCGGGGCTAGAGTGCCTTCGAGGTGGCCGTGTCTCCCCCCCCCCCAAAACATGTAGGGATCTTCCTCTTTCGAATGGATCTAGTGAATGAAGAGATTTTTAGTTCCAGGTTATGAATTTTAGAATAATTATTTTCATTTATGCAATCAAAATTTCCTTTTTTTTTTCCTGTTGCAGAAGATTCGAGTGTTCCAGAAACCCCAGAAAATGAAAGGAAGGCGAGTGTGTCCTATTTCAGGAATCAGAGGGGAATTCAGTGCATCGACCTGTCCTCCGACACGGAGGATGCCGTGTCCCCAAACTGCTCCCGGGCCCTCCCGAAGAAGGACCTCAGCAGGGACACCGTGATCATCGTGTAAGCCCTGACGGGGTCGCGCTGGCTGTGATCTTGGGGTTTTTTCGGGAGAAAAGTGAATTTGAAGATGATGTTGTCGTTTCCTTCCCTGCCCCGTCCTTTTGGTTTTGTTCCGTTGCTTCCTCCTGAGCGCGTCTTGGCTGTGCTTCTGGCCGATGGTGATTTTCGGCGAATTAGTTTAGCGATCTTCAGTTTTAGTTTTAGTCCATGAGCTATGCCCGACTGTGCTCGGGGCTGACTCCTGGCTCAGTGCTCGGGGGCCGCTCCTGGTGGTGCTTGGGGAGCCCCGGGGCTGCCGGCTTGAGCCGGGTCATCCGTGGCCGGGCAAGTCTCCTCCCTCAGCCTTGCACCAGCCAAAGCCGCTGCCGTCCAGTTCAGAAGTACCAAGCCACCCCCGTGGAATGCTGTTGGCTGGGCGAGTCCCAGCCGAGCACTGGCAGCTGAGAATATGGGCCCAGGTGGCGGTTTATGCGCCAAGGGAGCCTGCTGGCCGGGGAGTGGGTGCGGGCGCCGCCCCGGCCCTGTTCCACCCGCAGAGCCACAGGCCTGCTGCGGCGGGATAAAGGGATAAAGCCACTAACCCCCGCGGGGTCTGGCGGTTAGCGCCGGAGGTGGGCACCTCAGCCTGGTCCCCCGCTGCCTCCTGCCCGCAGTTGCGGCTGCCCCCAGATCAGCTGAAGTGAAGGGGACCCCGGAGCCCGCCCAGGTGGCTCTGGGTCTGCCCCCAGCGCCCCGTCACCCCCGGGGGTTGCCTTCGTTCCTCGCCGAGGGGTCTCCGGGCGCAAGTTCCAGGCCCTCCAGGTGGATGAGCTGCGCTCAGTGCTGGCAAGAGCAGCAGGTTCACGGGACGCCTCGCGCTTGCTCTGAAGGGACGTTAGCGACGCACGAACAGGCTGATTTTCCCCCTTCACTGTTCCTAGCTCGGAACCGTCTGAAGACGAGGGGTCCCCAGGGCCCCCTGCGGTGGCGGGCGGCAACGAGGACGATATTTCAGAACTGGAAGACATAAAGGACGCCAAGCTGCAGACCCTGAAGGAGCTTTTCCCACAGCGAAGCGATGCCGATTTGCTTAAGGTGACACGCGTCTTCTGCTCGCGGTGGAGCTTGCTTTCCGATGTGAGAAGGGCAGGGAAAGGGTTTGGGTAACTCCCGGGAAGCAGAGCAGCCCTGAAATCCTCCCTGGAAGGGGGCAGGTCTCAGTTTTGAATGAGTTCGGCGCCGTTGCCGGTTTCTCCTGTAGAAATTCCGTGTATGATTGCAGTGGGAAAATGAGGCTGACCCGCGGAATTGAAAGCTGGGGCTGAGTGACACCTGGACGAGGAGGCAGAGTGTTTGCCTCGCCCGCGGCGGACGGAGGGGCCATCCCGAGACCCTCCGGGAGGGACCCCAAGTGCAGAACCTGGGGTCAGCCCTGCGCACTGCCCAAAAAGCCAAAACAAAACAACAGCCCCGAGCCTGGGGTGACTTAGTGTATCTAGAGCACGCACTTGAAAAACTAGAGTTTCAAGTTGTGTCATAGGAAGAGATTTAAAGGAGACATTTAAAAATTACAAAAACGGAGCTGGAGCGATAGCACAGCGGGTAGGACATTTGCCTTGCACGCGGCCCACCTGAGTTCGATCCCCAGCATCCCAGATGGTCCCCTGAGCACCGCCAGGAGTGATTCCTGAGTGCAGAGCCAGGAGGGACCCCTGAGCATCGCTGGGTGTGACCCAAAAAGCAAAATAAATAAATAAAGAAATAAATAAAAATTACAAAGACTTTTAGGTCGTGTTAAAGAATTCCCCCCAGATATGGAATATTATTTAGTGCTAGACTTGGTAAGATAATGCTTTGGTGTTTTTGTTTTCTGGACCTCACCTGACGATGCTCAGGGGTCCCTCCTGGTGGTGCTCGGGGGCCATTCGGGAGCCAGGGATCGAACCCGGGTCTGCCCCAGGCAAGGCAGATTCCCTCCCTGCTGTTACTGCTTCAGCCCCATCCTTAGTTGGAAACAAAGAGGCCCTTAAAGGTCACTGAGGACCCTGGATTTTGGAATCTAGTACAGAGAAGCCACTCATGTCAGTGGAAGCTGTTTAATCCAGAGCTGTTTCATTCACAGAGTAGCTTGTTTATTGATGTCTTCCTCATGTGTGGTGCCAGGGATTGAACCCCAGGCCTTCCGTACGCCAGACAGGTGCTTGCGTGTGCCCGAGAGTCACATCTCTGGCCCCCAAATAGCTTTACAAAACAAGTGACTTACTGGGAATACGGAAAGTCTGGGGAAAGAAATACCCCATAGAATACACAGTATAGGGGGCCGGGGCAGTAGCACAGCGGGGAGGGCGTTTGTCTTGCATGCAGCCAACCTGGGTTCGATCCTCGGCATGCCATATGGTCCCCTGAGCACCGCCAGGAGTCATTCCTGAGTGCAGAGCTAGGAGGAGCCCCTGAGCATCACCAGGTGTGATCCAAGAAGCCAAAAAAATAAAATAAGGTATGCAGTATATCCGGTTTTTCTGTAACCCCAAATGTCAACATAAATGATGCGTTGGAGCTGTTCTTTAAGACGGTTCTTCACCCTGTCTGTGGCCCCAAAGTTTTCCCTAGTCAAAGCAGCAGTAGATGTCTATGAGCTAAACACGACTTTTTTTTTTTTTTTTTTTGCATGTTGGGTCACATCCAACAACGCCCAGTGGCTACTCCTGGCTGCTGCCCTCAGGAATTACTCCTGGTGGTGCTTGGGGCACCATACAGGATGCCGGGAATTGAGCCCGGGTCAGTCACGTGCAAGGCAAACGCCCTCCCTGCTGTGCTATCACTCTGGACCCTGAAAATGATGATTTTGTAACATTAGATTTGATGAAATACTATCTATGTTGGGTTTTGTTTTTGTCTTTTTTTATGTTTTAAAGACTCGGCAGTGCTCAGGGGTTACTCCTGGCTCTGCACTCAGGAATCACTCCTGGCGGGGCTCAGGGCCCCATATGGGATGCCGGGATGGGACCGGGGTGGTCTGCGTTGGCTGTGTGCAAGGCAGACGCCCTCCCACAGTTCTAAGGCTGGGTCCCATGGTCTTATTTTTGTGTTAGTTTGTTTCCCTGAGTCCACCGGGGTTGGAAGGCTGAGGAGCACTCGTAGAAACAACGTGTCAATGTTCATCGTGCCGGTCAAGTGATCCAGAAGTGGAACTCAGGAGCCCTTTGTCTCCTCTGAGTATCCGATTTAAAAACAAAAGGACTGTTGAATCTTGGCCTGTCATTTAAGCAATCAAAAATGAACAATAGAGACGTGATCTCCCTGTCCTCTCTCACACGTGCCCGCTAATTGGGTGTGTCCACAGAAAGTTCTGGTAACCGAATCACACAAACAGTAAATCTGCTTTAGACAAGGATTTTATTCCGCTCTGGTGATGGGTCAGACTTCATTTAACATGGCGTACCTGAGTCTGGACTAGTCCCATAAGTCGAGTTTTCTGAGAAATGATAAGCGGATACAGGAGAATGGAACATCACGCCCCCGTCCGATCTTGCACATGTCAGGTACGGTCGGTTAGTTTGCAGGCTTTGTGAAAGAAAGTTGTTTTTGATGTTGTTTCACACGGTCCCCTTCTCTCCCGACTCCGTCAGCTGATTGAGTCCACGAGCACCATGGACGGAGCCATCGCCGCAGCCTTGCTGATGTTCGGAGACGCAGGTAGGCCGGCCCGGAGCGTCCGGGGCTGGTGGTGGCCGGTGGCCTGGGGGTTGTTCCTGGGTACATGGGAGAGTGTGGCTGAGGCGGGCTGCGGAGGGGAGGGGAGGTTAGGGCTCTCCCGCCCCACCGGGAAGGCAGCGGCGTCCGTCTGTCCGTCGGCTAGTTTGCTCATTACCGCAGGTCCGGTCTCGCCACAGTTGAGCCTCGGAGCGTGTTTCCTGCCCGCCCGGGTGTGGCCGCGGGCTGTGTGCTGGCAGCCGGTCCCCTCTGGTTTCTGATCCCAGGCCATGGGTGGGAGTTGGTAGGTCCGTAGGGCCGTGTGGGAATTTCTCGTGTTTCTCCTTTCAGAGCCCATCAGGCCGGTTCTTCAGACCATATTCCAGGGGTACAGGAAGGGCGTGAGGAGCTTACGGGTCACTGCGAGCATCTGTGCTTTGTGCTGGGGTCACAGTGCCAAGCTTTTCAGGGTTAACGGTGGTTTGTCCTTTCTCCTCCTGCAGGGAGCATAGGTCAACTGAGTTGCTCCCACCATGGTGCTCCCAAGGCACACCCAGTTCCACCAGACTCTCCCATTCCTCTGTGTTTATCTCTGACCTGTTCATCACAGATACCCCCAGTCAGACCCTGTGGCTTGTAAAGTTGAAGCTTCTGAGGACTCTGGATTTTGTATGTGGCGGTGACATGCTGCTTTTCTCTTTCCTTCTTGTCTGGTGCACAGTTTGCTTTAGGGGAATGTCCTTTTTATAGGGAGACAGGAAGACAGTCGATGGTGACTTGGGAGTTAATTGACTCCAGATAATATGTGCTCCTGGGCATCTGTCCTATTTACTTGATGTAAGCCTCAGTTTCCCTTACTCCTAACACCCCAAAAGGAAGGTCCCACTGAGGAGGGTCTTGGATGGACTTGGGGCAAGCCGAAAGCTACCCTGGCATTGGAAAGGGACAGGCTGAGCCGAAAGAAGCAGCACAGTAAGTTACGAGCACGGCCTTGGGACAAACTGACATGACCCCAAAGGAAGCGACTGAAGAAGGGCCCTGTCAGGGTGAGGGAAAACCATGTAGCCCCCGCAGCCCCACCCTGAGGGTCCCCCAGGCCCCTTAGCTGCTGGAGCCCATCCCCCGTGCTTGGGGTCTCTTGGGCATCACGCTCCCTCCAGCCCAGTCCCAGGCCTTCCTAGAAGATACCATTCTGCACGTAAGCAAAGTGACTCACGCATCGTTGCGAAAAGGTTTTTGTGACTGTTCTTCACACATGCAAGAACAAGCAAAACGTATTTCTTAAGATGTTACTTAGTGCTTTATAATGTGCTGATATTGAAGTAATTTAAAGTGATCTAAAGTCATTGTTTCAAAACTAGGGTGTTTCCATTGCTGGCTGCATGTGCCTTGGCCATCTTGGGTGCAGGCTCGCGTGAGACCTGAGGAGGTCTCGAACCCTCTCTGCACACATTGTCAGGGCAGCGTCTGGGGGTCGGAGAGACAGAGCCGCGTCCTGGCCCTTTGAGCACCGCCAGGAGCACTGCTCAGGGAGCCCCCGCCCCTTCCACAACCCTGGGGCTGGAGAGAGGGTTCCTGGGGCCGGCTGGCTCCATTCCCCGCCTGGACCACGCGGTTCTGGTGCAGAGACCCCTGAGCACTGCCGGGCATGGGAGAAAGGCAGAGTGAGATGAGGAAAATGTTGGCACTGAAAAATTCAGTGCATCAAAGATTCTTTCCTGTGTCTTTGTAGGTTGCCTCCCGCACTGGTCAGAGCACGTCCCCTGAGGCCGTGCAGAAGCCCGGGGGCACGCTGGTGCCCACCAGCCTTGCCTTAGGCAGGGTTGGTGGCTGAGCTCAGCTCACCTCTGATGCGCACAGGAGGGAGAAAGCAGGCTCTTTTACTTGAAAAATTGGATTTCTTTTTTTTTTTTCTTTTCATGAACTGCCTATGAATCTCTTGTTCATATATATATTTTCAAATCTGATGGTTTTTAAAAAATTTTTTTACTAATGATTTAGATAACCTATTTCTGTATTAAGGGACGGCGTCCTTGTCCAGCTCTTGTTTTCTGAAATGAATGGTGTGTACCCCCAGCACAGTACAAGCATTTGTGAAATACGTAATGTACAGGTGGTGGTCGGCTGACTTGTCTTTCACAGATCTCCAAAGTTTTTGGCTCACAGCTATTAAAGGCTTCGCTGCAGGCAGCTAAACGTGCTCTCCTGGACTCTTTTATACTCCCGTGGCAATTTTTGCATTTTCTTCCACATTTGCATAGTTTTGCCTTGTGGCCATTTACACGTGCGGAGGTGGTGCAGTGATATTAGTGACATAGAGATGCCTGAGCAGATATGTAAGATTAAATTACGCTTTATTGACAAAACAAAGTTCTTAAGGAATCACCGCTGTCACCTGGGTGTCCAGGTGACGTGTTGGAAGTCCTTGGGTTGGAGCTTTTTTCAGAGTCGACTGAGAGTGTTTGCTTGGGCCTGACATATACAGGAATACGGGGTGCTGAGGTGGTCAGAGGGTCCCCCCACCCCCCGCCCCCAGCTCCCCATGCCCGGCCGCCCTGAACACAGCCTCAAGGGACTTCAGAGAGTCCCCAGGTCACTTTGGGGCCTCCCAAGAGGTGCTGCCCCTGGACTCTGCCTGGGCCCGCTGGGAACACCCAGGCTGGGGTCTGACCTGGCCAGCACGTGGCCCCGGTGCCTATGGTCGGCGTCTGGGGATGCACGCCCACGGAGTTGGGGGGAGCAGCCGCAGGGCAGCTGATGAGTCAGCCAGTCACGGGCTGGGGTCGGCCTGCTCCTTCCGACCGAGTTTTCCGGCTGAGGACTCGGGCTTGGCCGCACCCTGGCCGGGCCTTGCTGGGGGCTGGATCCACCTGGTCCTCGCTGGCTGGGAGCTGGGCTGACTCCTGGCTCTGCACTCGGGCTCCCTCCTGGCGCGGGGGGATGGGGGGTTCGACGTGGGGTGTGAGGACTCCCCTTGGGGCGGCCCTGTGCCAGCCCAGCCCCTCCCCACTGCAAGGTGGTGCTCACCGAGAGCACTATTATTATTATTATAAAAGCTCCTTCAGTTTTTCAGCGTGTTTCTTTGTTAGGTCGTCACGTGAAGTTCTGGTTTCCTGCTTCTCTGTCTGCAGGTTAAGAGCTTTTGTTGCTTGAATGCATGTATTTTGGTTTTTCTCGGTTAAGCGAAAGGGATTCGTTGTTCAAATAAAAGCGACCCATAAAGCCTTCTGCCCGCCAGTGCCCTGCAGACTCCTGCGGGCCTGGGTGACCCTACTCAGATCAGACACACCGGCCGATGTCCGGCTGAGCACTGGCCGTGCTGCGGAGAGCCCTTCCCCCAGCACTGCGCTTCAGATGACTGTCGGCTTGATGACGTGTGTTTGCAGCATTAAGTAAGGCAGTGATTTATCAGAGCATTGCAGTGATTGCTGCTAAGAAGAGTCTCTGTTCTTTGCTCGGGCTGATGGTCATGGAGTCTTCATGCTGTGTAGGAGGGGGCTGTTGTCAAAAGAGCGTCCCACAGATATTGGAGGACCGCGGTCATCACCGTGTCGCAGCGTTCGAGTGGCTTCTGTCTTTGACCTCTGCCCTCCTTTCTTCCTTAGAGGGTGGTGGACCCAGGAAAAGGAAATTGTCTTCTTCTCCAGAGCGGTATGTGGAAGACGACTTTAGCGACGAGCAGTGCGTGAAGAAGAAGAAACTGGACCATGTAAGTCACTCCCACGTTGCCGTCCCAGAACTGGCCCTGAAGCCCGAAGCACTGAGTCGGGTCTCGGGCCCCGAAACCTGCCTGACGCGTTTCTGTTCCCAGTCTCAGCCCAGTCAGAAGGGAGGTCTGTGTTGCCACGATTCTTCCTGTGAGGAGTGTGAGGTGGGGAGGACGTGGGCGCCATGTCCGGCACTGCCGGGGCCAGTCCTGGCCCAGGCCTCAGGGCCTCGCGGTGGCCGGGGTCAGCTTGGCTTGGTCACGTGCCAGGCAGGTGCTTTCCGCCCGTCCCCCCCCCCCCCCCCTTGCAGCCGCGTCTGCTCTCTACCGAGGGTCACATCTGCACTATAAAGTCAGCTCATTGGCTTCGCTTTCATTTATCCGGGGATTGAGTGGGGGGGGGGGCACCCCCGGCTCTGTGCTCGGGTCACTCCTGGCCATCCTCGGGGACCGTGTGTGATGCCAGTGATCATACACGGTCACTCGCCCGAGACCAGCCCCTGGACTGTGTCTCCTCCCTGGACTTAACTTCCACGGTCCTCTGTCGGTCGGGGAAAGGAAGCTCTGGGGCACACGTGCTTTCGATGGCTGTCTCCAGCACCGCACGCACGTGTGTGTGTGTGTGAGTGTGCGTGCATGTGTCTACGTGGGTGTGTGCACGTGTATGTGTGTGCATGTACGTGTGTGCATGTGTGTGTCTGTGCGTGCATGTGTATGTGTACATCCATGCGTGTGCGTGTGTGCACATGCGTGTGTGTGCATGTATGTGTGTGTGCGCGTGTGCGTGTGTGCTTGTGTGCGCGCGTGTGTGTCCCAGCGTGTCTGGCGGGTGTCTCTGTCCCGTCCCCTCCCCTGTGTTGGCGGCTGCCCCTCTCGGTGCCTGTCCTGTGTACCTGGCTCTCGTCTCTCTGGACAGACCAGCCTCCGCCTTCACGGCAGCCTCCTGGGGCCTGACGGCCCTAGCTGTGGGGCAGCGGGAGATGTGGCTGCTCTGTTGGGGCCGGGTGCTCCCTCCCCAGATGCCTGGCAGGTGTGTGGCCGGGTGGGGTGGGCATGAGCTGTCCCCATGTGCCAAGTCTCGAGGTCTGGGGTGTCGGGAGCCCGGGGCTGTGCCGTGTCCCGGCCTGGCAGGCTGCAGCCCCTGACAGTGCCCAGGAGCACTGGGCCCTCACCTGCCTGCCCCCACACTACTGTGCCGTCCTTGGGCCCCTGCGTGACGCGTTTGTCTCCTAGGGCTGTGACACCCCTGGCCCACACACCGAGTGGCACCCACAGAACCACGCGGCCCCCCAGCCGTGGACGCCGGAAGGCCAGGACCCGGGCAGCAAAAAGGTTGGTCCTGGAGGCTGTCTCCTGAGGCTGTCCCCGAGACGCCGTCCCCGAGAGGCTGTCCCTGCCCTCCTGCGCTAGACACTAGCCGCCCTGCCCTCTGACCTGCAGATCTCTCTCCCCATCTCTCCTGCTCCGCATGTCCCTCGTCACTCCCCTGGGTAGGAGGGTCCGTGTCCTTGGCTCAGCCCCCGAGGGACCCCTTCAGAGGTCCGAGACAGCCTTGGAGGGCCCCGGGTCTGTCCCGGGCCCGTCGGCTCCTGCGTCTCTCACTGCCAGGCGAGCTCCGGGTCCGGCCTGGCCTGTGGGCGTGGCTGCGGCCCTCGGCCCTGTCACCTGTGTGTGGGCCCCCCCCCACCCCCCGCATCCTCAGCACCCACAGGGACTCTCAAGCCCTGAGTTTTGTTCTCAGGAAAATCAAGAAGTTCCATAATGTGCTGTCCCCTGGGTCTGTTCTGGTGGCCGCTGGCCACGGCCGCCCTGGCCTGTCCCCTGGGCCTCTGTGTGTGAGATCAGTAAGAGGACGCACCACCCTGAGCCCTCCCCACTGACACTCTGGGGTGAGGTGACGCAGCTGGTTGTCACTGGAGCTTTTAGTCCTAACAATTGTTGGTCCTAACAATAAGCCAAGTTTAGGAGGTTTTTTGGCCCATTTTTTCTATATTTTTTTTAATTTTGATTTTTAAAAATAATTTTTTCATTGTTGAATCACCGTGAGGCACAGTTACAAGCTTTCATGTCTGAGTTTCAGTAATGCAGTGAATGAGCACGCATCCCTCCACCAGTGCACGTTCCCCACCACCCAGGTCCCCAGTGCCCTCCCATCCCAACCCTCCCCCTGCCTCCATAGCAGACAATCTCCCCCGGACTCTCTCTCTGCTTTGGGGCATCACGGTTTGCGATACAGACGCCGAGAGGCATCACGCTGGGTCCTTTGTCTACTTTCAGCGCACACCTCCCATCCCCACAGATTCCCTCCAACCATCGCTGACTCAGCGATCCCTTCTCTGTCCCAGCTGCCTTCTCCTCCCGCTCAGGAGGCAGGCTTCCAACCGGGGGGCAATCCCCCCGGCCCTTGTCTCAGATCATGTTGTTTGAAGTCCACGAATGAGTGCCGTCCTTCTATGCCTGTCCCTCTCTTTCTGACTCGCCTCACTCAGCATGATACTCTCCGTGTCTATCCACTTATAATCAAATTCACAACTTCGTCTCTCCTGACAGCTGCATAGTACTCCATTGTGGAGATGCACCAACGTTTCTTTAACCAGTCATCCGTTCTTGTAGCCCAGCCCCAACCCATCATACTTCCGGTTTAAGAGCTGCGGGGGGCGGAGGGGGCTGGCTCCAGGGCGTGGGGGGCGCTGGCCCTTGATCAGGCCCTACCAGGTGAGCGTGGGCCACCGCTTGTCCTTCCTCTTGGCAGCGGCGAAGCCCCATCTCTGCTGCCCCTGTGACCCTGGGGGCAGCCCCTCGGGTGGCAGTGGTCCCCTGCATGTTTCGGGTGCCCTTGTAGAATGGGGGTGGGGGATAGACGTGCCGCCCCCTCCCCGCCCCTCTTCCCCATGTCCCTCTGTCCTCTGCTCGCTCCTCACGGCCAGAGGCCATGCGGGCTCCCTTCCAGGGCCAGAGAGGCCGGGCCCAGCCCCACAGTGGCCATGGACACGAGATAGGGCCCAGCCACGGCCCGGGCGTGAGACCCCTTGTGTCGAGTTGGGGCGGCAAGGAAGAGTGGCTGAGCAGGCATGGGGACGCAGGTCACGGTGCTGCCCGCGGGTGGCAGGGAAGACGAGGAGGGTCTCCAGATACTTGACTTTGCGAAGTTAGACGAACGTGTGCGGCCTGGAGTGAGCCGTCCAGCATGAGGCATCCGCCGGGGTCTCCTCTGCTCTCGCGGTTCTGCGGGACCTTTTCTGTCTCGTTCCTAACGTTTCTGTCGCCCGCACGGCGGAAGCTCTTCGTTCCTCTCCTTGTCCCAAGCTCTTGGCGCCACCGACCTGCTTTCTCTGTGAATTTACCTATTCCGGGAATTTCATATAAATGCTGTCCTCTGCGCAACCCTGCGTGCTCTCACCGGATCCTCGTTCTTTGCTCAAAATCCTGCCACTTTCTGAAGGGTAACGTCACTCCATAACTCTGTGGCTTCTGCCGTATTAACCCTGGTTTATTTTATTTTATTTTTTGCTTCTTGGGCTACACCTGGCGATGCTCAGGGGTTCCTCCTGGCTCTGCACTCAGGAATCCCTCCTGGCGGTGCCCAGGGGACCATGCGGGTTGCCGGGGATTGAACCCAGGCTGGCCGCGTGCGAGGCCAATGCCCTCCCTCCGGTACCGTCTCTCTGGCCCTGGTTTAAGTTTTTAGCCTTTTAGTCTGTTCGTGTTCTCTGCCCCAAAACTTGTGAGCCACTTTCTGTATATATATACATATATGTGATTTCCCTTCAAACTCTGATTGCCTGTATGTCTATCTGTGTCCAAAGAACTTTGTTCTGTGTGTAAGAGAGGTATCAACTCAGGTTTAGTCGTTTCTGTGTTAGAGAGTGAAAGAGTGAAACGCAGCATTTAGCTACTGTAAGAGGAAGGAAATGGGAAAGAATGGAATCTTCTTTAACACTTAATCGTTGCTTCGGTTTGGTCTTTGGTGTTGGGCGGTTCTCGGACTAACCCCCGGGGCTCTGGCCCAGCCAACCCTGGGGGGCGGGGGGAGAGTCCTGCTCTCTCTCCAGCCCACGCCAGTTTTGAGCAATTAAATGCTTTTTGATTAGTTGGAATACAAGATTTTTCCTCTCTGTGCATCCAAAGAATTGATTGCCTAAATGTAGAATTTTTCAGGTGCCGTAAGTGGCAGCAAAGAAGAAAATGATATGAGCAGCCGTAGTCACTCTCAGATTTGTTTTTAATTTGTCCCTTTCACATAGTTTCCTTCGCCACCCTGTCACCTTTATGTCGCTAAGGCAGTCAATATTCAGGCCATTGTCTCAGTCAGAATTGAAACGGAAGGAAACTTTTGTCTCAGTATTTGAAGTCCATAGGATTTTAAATTGTGAGCTTGGATATTTGAAAAAAAATTCTACATATATCTATATTTTGGATTGTCATTAGCTTGGAAGGACTTCAGTATACTTCAGATTTTATCGAGGAACGTTTTTGTCTTTTCGGAGGCTCATTTTGTTGTGAGCAGTACGTGAAACAAGTGAGCTGCTTATATCCATCAAAATCTGTCATTAATCTAAAATCAGATGTATTTTTATTTGAGAAATTTTTTTTCTAGAGATAGGCCTGTTGGTAAAAGTGATTCAGGATTCTGTTGACTGAGTATCATAACGTTCACATCAGGTAAAAATTGAAACATCGTTTCTTTACAACCACTCCTGCCAGTGGTGCCTCAAATCGGTCCTCTTCCCCTCCTAGGAAGAAGAGCCCAGCGAGTCTGCGGAGTCGAGCGGCAGCTGGGAGCAGCAGGAAAGGATCGTGCTGAAGCTGCAGAAGGAGTTTCCCAACTTTGACAAGCAGGTGAGCCGTCAGGTACAGAGATTTAACCGGATTGCGGCAGTGCTTGCGGGCCGGCTGCATCAAGACTGGAGTGAGGTCTGGTTTTCTGCAAATCAGTATTCCTCCTTGTCAAAGTACGAAGTGTTTCGCACTGCTCGTTTTCCACATCGTTGCTAAACTCTGCATTTGCTAACTTTGTCACGCTCACAACCTTGCAGCCTAACCAGAGCGAGTAAAAGGGATCATGATTGTGGAGCGCATTTGAAAATGTAAATCATCTAGAAGGCATTTATGACCCCAACTCGACTAAGAAGGTCTTTTTTTTTTTTTCATATTCTCCGCCTTTACATTTCTCAAGAATTTTCAAGTGTCGGATTGCATTTCAGCGTCCTGATTTCTTCCCCTGCCTGCCGGAGTTACGGGTGCTTAAAGACACGGCCTGGGTGTCCGTGCTCAGAGAGCTTGTTTAATCACGTCGCTGCATACAGAAGAAGGCTGCTTATCTCTGTGCTGAGTGTGCTTGGCTGCATACAGTCAGGAATCTGCATACAGAGACGGCACACCTTCGGAACGCTGACGAAGGCAGACACCTCCTGCTTTGACAGCTGTTTTTTCACATACGTTGAAAGCACGGGCTTTGAAAGGGCAATTTGGGAAAATCCTGATGCGTCTTGATTTTTTTTTTTTCTTTTTGGGTTCCACCCGGCAATGCACAGGGGTTCCTCCTGGCTCATGCACTCAGGAATTACCCCTGGTGGTGCTCAGGGGACCCTATGGGATGCTGGGAATCAAACCCGGGTTGACCACATACAAGGCAAACGCCCTCCCTGCCATGCTGTAGTCCCAGCTGCATCTTGAAATTTTGTTTGAATTTAGTGGCTGTGTCTTTGACCCACTCGTACCCAGAATTCTTCATCAGGAGAATAGACGCAAGAAATCAGGCAGGGGCTGGAGCAATAGCACAGCGGGTAGGGCGTTCTCCTGGCGTGCGGCCGACCAGGCTTCGATTCCCAGCATCCCATATGGTCCCCTGAACACCTCCAGGAGTAATTCTTGAGTGCAGAGCTAGGAGGAACCCCTGTGCATCATCAGGTGTGGCCCAAAAAACAAAGAAAAAAAAAAAGTCAAGCACCTTTACTTTCGGAAACATACATCGAATGACAGTGGCAAAAATACGTAGGAGATTTTGAAAGAGCTCTAACTCTGTCGAACTGCTGCTGTGTTGTGACTGCTGTTACCCCCTTCCCCTGCGTCGCTGGGTGTGACCCTTTACCAAGGGCACGTGCGTGAGAGACCAGAGCAGCCGTCAGCCTGGGCCACCACGGTCTCTCGGCCAGGAGGGGCCTGGCCTGGCGGGCGCAGACGATTCGTGGAGCTCAGGCGTAGCTCAGGGGTCGAGCAAGCATAATCGTCCCACTCTGGTGCCCCGAGATAACCCAAAGACGCTAAAATAACGAAACCTCAATCCTGTTGTTCCGACGATTGTTTTGTAAAGCATGCACACGTCTTCTTCCGGTTGCTGATGGTAGATTTTAACAGAGGCGAACACCTTCTTCCTAGGAGCTGAGGGAAGTGCTCAAGGAGCATGAGTGGATGTACACGGAAGCGTTAGAGTCGCTGAAAGTGTTCGCAGAAGACCAAGGTAATGCTCCGTGCCGTGTGACTGTGGGCGACACGTACGTGGTCCCGTGGTAGGAAAACAGAAACCAGCAGGTGACGGTCAGAAAGGGTCGGCGGGTGATCGGAGTAATGGGAAAAGCCTTTTAAAATGACCATTCCTCAAACTTCGGTCTGCTTCCGGCAGTGTAAAATGAAAGAATGATCCCTGATTTTGCTTGTCCAAATTTTTTGATGGTTGGGGCTCTTTTTAAACTGTCAAGTTTCGTCGACTATGAAAGAAGAGTGTATTTGTTAGTCTCAGGAAGGATCTTCCCCACCTGTTGATCGCTGTGACGCCACCCTTGGCCTTCCTGGCGGGAACACTGGAGTGCTGATGGAGACCCGGGGTCCGGGTGGGCACGGAGGCCCCATCCAGCCCCGGAGCGGGGAAGGGGCCATGGGGGTCGTAGCGTCGTGGGTCGGGAGCGTCTACACGCTAGCTCTGGGCTGTCTCCGCCCCGTGATGCTCTGTCAGTTCAGAAGCACAGCACAGTGACGGGGGGGTCTCGCTTTGGTTTTGATGGGTGCTTCTAAGAGACGCTTCCCGCGAGCCCCGTCACGGCTCCGCAGGAGGAAAGAAGCCGTTGGTGTCACGGTTCTGACTGAAGTTCAGAATGGCAGAGGGCCAAAACCAAGATTTTTGAGAACTACCTTCTGAATCTCGCTCGCGTATTTTTTTTGTTTTTCATTCTCGTTGGCTTATAGTTTTCATACAAATCCAGCGGGAGCATGAGTGCCTGTTGCGGGGAGGTAGGCACGGGATTTCCCTAGTGGCCCTGAGTGGTCTGGGGGAGGGCGGCCGGTGATGCGGGGGGGCTTCTGTTTGGCGACGGGTTATCGGACGGCGAGCTCAGAAGGCCATAGAGGGAGATGCAGAACCGCAGCCGGCATGCACGTAAAAACGACAGTGCAGAGGGTTTTAGTTGGGGTGAGGATTGTGCTTTCTCCTTGTGGGTGGAGGTGGTTGCCCGGGGCCATCTGGACACGTTTTTTTTTTCCTTTTTCACTGTGCCTTTTCTGCATAGTCTCAGGACCTTTGTGAGAAGGAAAATGGAGACTTACTGCTCACCGTATTCTGGAAAGAGTTCTGGTTTTATTTAGCATTGTAGCACTGTCCTCCCGTTGTTCATCGATTTGCTCGAGTGGCACCAGTATCGTCTCACCCCAAATCGTGAGGCATGTTGTTACTGTGTTTGGCATATCGAATACGTCACGGGGAGCTTGCCAGGCTTTGCCGTGATGGTTTTATTTAAAAGAGATTATTTCATCTTCCTGTATAACTTCCGTTTCTACTTTAGCATTTCTCTGAAAAGGTACCAAGATTTTAGACAAGTTTTTGATAGACTCCGTGCTCGGGAGGAAAACGCGCGTATTTCAAGTTTTCTTATTCGAAGTTCTTGGTTTGTCCTTCTGACTTATTGCTGTGTTTCTGGTCTTTGTTGACAGACACGCAGTATTCTGCACAGAGCGAGTTTCCAAATGGGAAGGAAGCTTCTTCAAGAAGTCAGAGTTACCCTAAGCCCGCGAGTAAAAAACTGAAACAGAAGTGCTCCCTGAAGCCCCAAAATGGTTTTAACAAGAAGCGCAAAAAACACGTGCTCAACCCCAAGAGGGTCGTGGAGGACTCGGAGTACGACTCGGGCTCGGAGGCGGGCAGCTCGCTGGACGAGGACTACAGCAGCGGGGAGGAGGTGGTGGGCGACGGCTACCAGGGCAAGATCCTGCACTTCCTGCAGGACGCGTCCGTGGGCGAGCTCACGCTCATCCCGCAGTGCTCACAGAAGAAGGCCCAGAAGATCACGGAGCTCCGGCCCTTTAACAGCTGGGAGTCGCTGGTAAGCTCCGTGCTTTCTCCTGCGTGTGTGCGTGTGTGTGCGTGCGTGCCTGTATGTGTGCATGTGTGTGTGTGTACATGTGTGTGTGTGTGCGCACTTGTGTGCCTGCCTGTGTGGCTGTGTCTCTCCCGGTGCCTCTGACGCTGCAGGTGTCCTCAGCCCGGGGAAGCACCCCCGGCCGGCCGTAGCCCGTGGAGGGCCAGACCTGGCTTTCCTCGTAAGCCAATAGCGTTGCAAATAGTGTCATATGACCTGATTTTGAATGAATTAAGGGGTGATTTTCCCGAAAACCCCAAGCTGATTGGCTGGGCATCCTGTCACTCACTCTCTCGCCCCGAACCGTGGTTCATTTCCCTGCAGGAGGAGGACGGGAGCTCAGCGTGCTGAGGAGCCGCTGCCTGAGAGGGCAGGAGCGGGGGCGGCCACGCAGGGCTGGGGCCGCGCGTGGGGCCTGGCCTGGCCGCCCCAGAGGGAGCCCTCGCGGCTGTGCCTTCCCCCCGGAGCCGCAGCTCCTCGAGGGTGTTTTTCTGGGGTGAACCCCGTGGCCGTTGTTCTGGCGAGCCCCGGGAGCCGGTATGCGGTTGGGAGCAGAGTGGCCGGGCAGGCGGGGGCGGTAAGTGGACTCTGCGTGGTCGTGCCTGGGCTCTGGGCTCTCGGCGGGAAGGCGTGCCCTGAGCCCTGTGCGTGCTGGTGGCAGCAGCCCTGCCCTGTGCGAGGGAGAGGAGGGCCAGGAAGCCCGGCCGTGGCCTGGGCGAGAGCAGCCGTGGGGGCTTTCGCAGCGGGACCGTGGCCTCGGCCCCAGGCGGCGTGGGGGAGTCTCCCGGCCCTCGAGGCTGCAGTGACCGTGAGGGTGTGGGGTCTCGGGGCTCTGCCCAGCGTGGGGATGGCTTGGAGGTCAGCCCTGTGCCGTGCCCAGCCTCGGCGGGACCCCCTGGGCGAGGGGCCGGGGCCGGGGGCCCGCAGACCCCCGACTGGGGTGCATTCTGTGTACGGTCAGGACGTTCGGGAGTCGTGAAGACGACACCGCTGGTATTCCGTCGCCTCCAGAAGGCTTCGGTCTCCCTGCGGCTGTCAGAGGAGGCCCCGGCCGGGAACTTGTTGGGCTTTGCCCGGGTGACGGGCTTGTGCAGGTATTTGCTGAAGGGCTTTCTTGTGCTTCTTGTTCTTCCTTTTCGTCTTTTCTTTTCATCTTTAATGGTCCCCGCTGTTGTTTCGGGAGTCGGGTTGCTCGGGCATGTTGGAATTCTAATTTCTTTAATAAAGAATGCAATTATCTTTCCCACTGCGTTTAGTTACTGTAACTACTTGCCCAAATAAATTCTAGTAAAAGTAAATGAGACCAGAGTTCTATGTGCCAGATGTTTTTTTTTTTAAATATCAGCAACTTAACAAGGAGAAAGCATATGTCCCCGCTAATTAATTGGCATAGCTTAAATTAGTCTTGACATGAATTTCTGAGTTCTGCATTCCGTACCTCAATCTCCTCTAGCAATTTGCCCCCTTTCGAAACTAATCATTGAAAAATAGACTTGATTTTTTTGCTCGATAGTCATCTGAAGAAGGGGCCTTGGCGCTGGAGTCGGGGTACGGAGGGGCGGGCGGGGGGGGCGGCAGACTTGTGGGGAAACGCGCCGTCAAGTTAGGACAGAGGGTGGCATTTCACTGTGCTTAGAATTACCTTTAGTTAGTCTAGAAGTATTTTTTATTTTCTTTTGTTCTTTTTCTTCTTTCTGTTTTTTTTGGGGGGGAGTGCGGGGGGGGAGTGCCCCTCTGTGCTCAGGTCTCACTCCTGCCTCTGTGCTCACGGATCAATCATGGCCGTTCTGGGCACTGACCCTGGTCAGCCGCACGCAAGACCCGACTCGCCCTCCGTTCCCGGCCCACAGATGCTCAGACGTGATTCTGGAACAACTTACTATGCTAAGATGATCAGAGGAAAATTTACTATTACATACATTATGTGAAAAAAAAAAAAAAACAAAAAAACAACCCATAAACAGATTCCTTGTTTTCGTAACAATTTTGTTCTACGTTGTTTTTATAGCAGCTGCTTAAATATATATGAGTATTTAAATAAGGTAAAGGTAAAGGCCCTCCCGTTGATCGTCGATTTGCTCGAGCGGGCCCAGTAACGTCTCCATTGGAGACTTTGTTGTTACTGTGTCTGGCATATCGAATACTCTCGGTAGCTTGCCGGGCTCTCCGAGAGGGGCGGAGGAATCGAACTCGGGTCGGCCATGTTGGCCGCTTGTAAGGCGAACGCCCTACCCGCTGTGCTAAGAGTTTTGTTAAGAACTTGTATCACTAAAACTTGGGTAGCTTACACGTAATCACTAGCATTTCCGAGTCTTATTTTGTTTAATTAGGGTTTGAAAACTGTTAGTATAGCGTTTTTAAAACATTTTGAAAAGTTGAGCGTCATTGGTTTTTGTCAATAGACTGTCAGAGCGAACTAGGAACATCTTTAAATCCAGAGTGCATGAAGTTTTCTGTCTTAAGACTTCCTTCTCAGAGAAAGTCTTTTAAAAATGTTCCGCAACATTTTGTCTGTCCATCTTTTACCTGAAAGGACCTTTGGTAATTTAACAAAATGAATGCACTATTTGATAGGGGGTTTTATCTGTAGCTTTATTTGCTTTGATTCCTCTGAATCAAGAAAGTGTTTATTACACTTTCTTCATGATCTTTTCATTTTGTTTTTCTGCGTAATACCAGTGAAGTCGCTATTTCTTGTAAGGAACCACCTGACGCTAAATCATGCAGACTCGGGAAATTGTTGTTTTAAAACATATACTACGATTAGAGTATATAAAGATTTGAATTTCTGTTGCCAAGCGTCACAGTAAATGGTGGGTGTCGGTCTATCAACCAAATGCTGAACTCTGGGCCACGCAGCAGAGAAGGGAGAAGGGAGAAGGGCCGGGTTGCAAAGCCGCAGAACCCGCAGCTGGGAAACTGCAGACACGCACACCGTAGTGCGTGATGCACCCGTCCGTTCTGTTAAGTAGCCAAAGGTTCTTCCAGGTGAAACGTGGACGGCCGAAATGCCGCAGAGCGTTTTCTCACAAGGGCGCCCTAAGACAGGGACTTTCTGGTGTGGAACTAGAGACGCAGAGAACCCGCTTGGTCCCGGTGGCCCTGGGAAGGCTCCTCTGGGCGGCGTCCTCAGTCAGACCCTGGGGAGTCAGCAGTCAGGCGGGGGCCTCTCGGGGACCCTGCTGCTCGCGCTCTGCGCCCCCCACACACCTGCGTGCGCCCGCAGGCCTGCGAAGGCCCCGATGCGGTTCCCAGCGGGCCCGCGGGTGGGTGGGTGGGGGCGGGGAGCGGGGGTCTCTTTCTGCCTTCTTTCCCGGGGGTTACTACAAAGCTTCTGTCTGAATTTGTTGCTTCAAAGCCCTTGGATGATCTCCAGGCATCGATCTGCTTGCAAAATTATGTAGGAAGGCCTTTAAAATGTTTCGTAAGCTCATACAAAAATTATTTGTAGGCTGTTCCTGGTTTCTTTGGGTGTTGTCTTTTGTTGTTAGTGGTGGAACGACGTGGAGATTCCAGGCCGTTACTTGTCCGCAGGGAAGTCGGTCCCGGGCAGGGGGGTTTCCCCCGTAGGGGCGACTCGCGCTCCGAGAGTGACGCCCTGTGGCCAGAAGGCGGCACTTCAGCCTGGGCCTTCCTGGGGAGAGGCAGCGGGTGGGTGGCGCTTCCCCAGCCCCCCTCCCCTCCGCAAAACCCGGGGGCTTCTTTCCTCCTGTTCTCCCTGGGGGAAGAAGCGTCATCACTTCTCTGAAAAATAAATCCCTAAGATTCAAACGATTCATGCAAGGACATGAAGACAGTATTGCCGAAATTCTACCCAAGACTTTTAAGCATAAAAATCAGGATTATAATATTGAATTCTAAACGTTAAGGGAAAAAAAAAACCCGACACTTTCCATTTTGTTAGGAGGCTGACACCACGCAGGGCTCAGCATTGAGGGTCCAGCAGGGCTGAAACCGGGGTCTTCCGTGGGGACCCTTCCCACCCCAGGCGGCTCAGGGCAGGGAAGCCGCCACTCACGGCTACCTTTCTCCCCAGCTCTGCCCTTCCCGGGCAGCCCCCGAGGCTCATCTGAGCCCGGAACCCATGGAGGCCCACACTGATGCCTGCGTCATGCCCTGAGGTCTGGCCGAGTTGGGCCTGCGGGCGGGCATTGTCTGTCTCCCTCCCTCCCTCCCTTCCTTCCTTCCTTCCCCTCCCTTCCTCCCTCCCTCCCTCCTTTCCTTCCTTCCTTCCTTCCTTCCTTCCTCCCTTCCTTCCTTCCCCTCCCTCCCTCCCTCCTTTCCTCCCTCCCTCCCTCCCTTCCTTCCTTCCTTCCCCTCCCTTCCTCCCTCCTTCCCTCCTTTCCTCCCTCCCACCGTCCCTCCCTCCTTTCCTCCCTCCCTCCCTCCCTCCCTCGCTTCCTTCCTTCCTTCCTTCCTTCCTTCCCCTCCCTCCCTCCCTCCCTCCCTCCCTCCCTCCCTTCCCTCTTTCCCTCCCTGTCTCCCTCCCCCCACCACCCCCAAGTACTCTGCCCTACTCCTGGCTCTGCACAGGCGTCTCTCCTGGGGGACATGGGCCGTCTGTGCTGGAGGTTGGACAGGGTCAGCCCCGTGCAAGGCCACTTTCCTCCCTGGCTGTCCTATTGTTGTAGTCCTGTACTATTGCTCCTGCCCCATGCACGGCTTTTCCAACTAGTGGCCTCATTCAACCATCAAACCACATTTATCAAAGTCTTGAAAAATTCAAGGACACGTCCTTCCGTAAAAACAGAGACCCTTCGGGAATATTCGGGACACTCACAGGAAGTGGCCGAGGAGAAGCGCAGAGCCCGGGGTGCGGATACGATGCCCCAAGGCCTGCCGTCCCCTAGAGGCTCGGTCCGGCCCTCGGAGGCCGCTGGACTGGGGGTGACGTGGGCAGTTCCGTGACCGTCTCTCCCGGCTGTGGGCACGGTGGGAGGCGGGCTGTCTGCAGGGCCCCCTCACGGGCCCAAGTCAGGGTCTCCCGGCCGTTGCGGGCCCCTCGGCCTCGCAGGACACAGCGCGACTGTCCTCCGTTCTCCGGCCTGACCTGCCGAGTCACCTCGCTGTTCCTGGTTTTCTTCGCCGCAGTTCACCAAGATGTCCAAGACCAACGGGCTGTCGGAGGACCTGATCTGGCACTGCAAGACGCTGATCCAGGAGAGGGACGTGGTCATCCGGCTGATGAACAAGTGCGAGGACATCTCCAACCGGCTGACCAAGCAGGTCACCATGCTGACCGGGAGCGGGGGCGGCTGGAACACCGAGCAGCCGTCCATCCTCAACCAGAGGTACGTGCGTCCCGGCGCGCGCGCGGGGGTTCCGTGTGGGCGTGGCGGGAGAACTCGGGCTCTGGGAGAGACCCCGGAGCCCCCTTGGCGGCGCCCGGGCTCCACAGAAGCTGACCTGGGCGTCTCGGCCTCCCCGGCAGACGCTTGATTGCCTCGAAGCCGAAATCTCTGCCTTGGCCCCTTTCTTTGAAATCACGAGTGAAGTGAATGAGAGAACCCTGTGTCTGGGGTTCAAGGTTTCACGGACTTCCGAAAGCCAGAAAATATGATTCTCTTGGGAGAAACATCAAAGATCTGTAAAGAGGGCCTGGAGAGATGCAGGCTTGGGGCACGTGTAGGAGAGGCCCCTCAGCACCGCCATGTGTGGCCCAAAGCACAAAATAAAGGCTTCAAAAATTCTCATAGAAAGAAAGATCATGAAAAGCATATTTGTGCGAAGTGCGTTCCCCAGAGTTGCAACTTTAGTAAATGCTAAATTATCGAAAACAGTGGGGAAAAAATCTACTATTATTGTTACACTTTTTTGCAGGGGTCGGGGGGCAGTTTGGAGCCACCTGCAGGGGTGCTTGGGGCTTCCTGCGGGCAGGACTTGGGAACCAGTCCAGTGCCCGGGCTCAACCTCGTGTTGGCCGCGTGCGTGCAAGGCAGGTGCCCTCCCGACGTACCTAGGAGCCAGTCTGTATCAAAGTGGCATTTTAGCGTTGTGACATTTTAGAATCGTTGAAATGGTGCCGTGAGCTTGGCTGTGGGGACTTGTTTTGCACGTCCTACATTCGTTTTGAGTGGTTCGAGAACTCAAAACTGAGAATTCCTTTGGAACTCCACGAAGGGCGTGCCGGAGCCATAACCCAGCAGGGAGAGCGTTGGCCTTGCACACAGACAACCCGGGTTATTCCCCGCGCATCGCTGGGTGTGACATAAAAAGAAAATAAAAAATAATAAAGTGTTACGTATAACGAAGCGTGTTTGAACACCTAGACTCATCTCTCAGCACAACTGTTGGTGACGAAGAAACTTGGACATTTTTATTTTAAGAATGTTCCTTGGGGCTGGAGCGATAGCACGGCGGGGAGGGCATCTGCCTTGCACGCGGCCAACCGGATTTGAATCCCAGCATCCCAAAAGGTCCCCTGAGCACTGCCAGGAATAACTCCTGAGTGCAGAGCCAGGAGGAACCCTTGTGCATCGCCAGGTGTGACCCAAAAAGGGAAAACAAAATGTTCCTTGACTGAACGCGACAGATTTATGTCAGAGTAGCATGTGGGTCCTTGGGTGCGTTTGTCAATGGCTTAATATACCTCTGTCAGGATTTATCATTGGGCTGGAATGTGAGTGTCTGCGTGTGGGTGTCTGTGGCACTGGCAGCCTCGAGCTGGTCCGTGGGTGCAGTGTTGACCCAGGTTCCGAGAGGGAGCTCCACGTGGCCTGGACCGGGTGGCTCGGAGCATTGACCTTCAGCCGGACCTGGCCCCAGGTGCAGGCTGAGAGTCTGTGCTGGGAACCGATTTTACCACCGCAGACACGGATTTGGACAATAATGCGTGGCTGGACCCTCCATTGAGGGCCAGAGAACTTCGCATCTGTGAGATCGACTCTCACCACTACCTTACCGGGAAGAACTGACTTGGGTCTGGAAATAGAGTGTGTCGCGGCAGTAAGTTGTGTTGCCCAAGAGGACCACGCTGTTTGTGAAAGTGGGCCTGAGGGTATCCAGGTGACTTTCGGTCAACACGTATTTTCTGGTGGCAGAGTTTCCTAGATGTCACGGCCCACAGGCAGCACACAGGCCTGTCCTGAGAGGGCTCCCCGAGCTCAGCAGCGGGAACAGTCTTGCCATGCAGGAGGCCGGGTTTGTCCCGAAAATCATCAGGAGCAGATTTGAAGGTCGAGAAAAAAATGTGATCTGGTTTGGGCTCTTTTCCGTTAAGTCTGGGGCTGGAGCGATAGCACAGCGGTAGGGCGTTTGCCTTGTGCGCAGCCAGCCTGACCGAGCCGGGTTCGATTCCTCCACTCCTCTCTGAGAGCCCGGCAAGCTACCGAGAGCATCTCTCCTGCATGGCAGTGCCCAAAGCACTGTGGGGAGCAGCCCCTGGTACACCCGGTGTGTGACCCTGAACAACTTCCACCGCTGCCCACGCAAAAACAAGCAAACAAAACAAACCCAGATGTTCTCAGACTCTCCTCCTTCCTCTGCTCACTGCGAATCTTGATGGAAAATTTGGCCCTTGAGCCATTTATTAGACCTCCTTTCTGTCCAAGCTCCCCGTCTCCGAAGACGGAATGTGCGTGGAAGGATGGGGCCGCAGCGATAGCACAGCGGGAAAACTGTGCCTCGCACGCGGCTGACCCAGGTTCGATTCCCAGCACCCCATATGGTCCCCCCAGCACCAGGAGTGATTCCTGAGTGCAGAGCCAGGAGGAAACCCTGAGCATCGCCGGGTGTGACCCAACAGCCAAAGGACAAGATTGTGTCTGGTAGGAAACGGAGGGCGCAGGGACGCGGGGAGGAGCAGCCGTGCGGCTGGCTTGGGTCTTGGCGTCACTGTGGGTGTGTGCTCTGTGGTGGCCGGTCTGTTAAACGCTGAACGCGCGTTTTGCAGTCACGCCACCACAGGCAAATTGTACAGGCTTTCCCGTCTGTCGGATGACTGTAGGGTCCCCTTTCCGGGATGTTAAAACGTTAAATGAGGTGACAGTCAGACATCATACTTTCATGCCTTTGTGTAAATTAGGTCTTGAGGAAATGATGACTGCAGTGAGTCTTGAATTACTTGAACTGAGAGAAGAAACTGTTGTTTTTCATATAACCCACCTGTGTTGTAAGTCATTGCGCTAGTCAAATGTTTCCAGATTAGATACGTCTTCTTCTTCTTCTTCTTCTTCTTTTTTTTTTTTTTTGCTTTTTGAGTCACACGGGTTCCTCCTGGCTCTGCACTCAGGAGTTACTCCTGACGGTGCTCAGGGAACCATGTGGGATGCTGGGAATTGAACCCGGGTCAGCCGCGTGCAAGGCAAACGCCCTACCCGCTGTGCTATCACTCCAGCCCCCAGATACGTCTTCTTGACACTTGTCTAGCACGTTTCCACTTTTTATTTCGTGAACATCCACATCCCCGCGTTTATTCAGAATGTACTTACTAAATCAGCCTGGCCAAAGCAACAAATCTTGCCTGCTTTTGGTCCTGAAAAAATGGATCTAGCTAGTATTGTTTTTTTTTAGTATAAACTCTAGCTTAGAAGTGTTACAGTTAATACTGAGATCTTTTAAGGATTCCTTGGGGCCCGGAGGTTGGTTGAAAGCCCCCCGGGGCCCTACCTGTGGCCGTGGGTGAGACTCAGGGCCAGCGCTGGGAGGGGGGGTGCCCCAGCCCTGCCCGCTCCCCGGCGTGGAAGGTGGGCCCCGTGTGGACTGGGCCCTCCCCCCACCCCCCCAGGCCCGTTCCTGCCTGCCCCTGCGTGCCTAGGGAGAGGCCCCTTCCCAGCAAAGCTGCTGATGCCGCAGGATTAAATCAATCAAGTACAGAGGGAGGCAGCCGGGAGCCGGGAGTTGCCGCCAGGTGACTGATCCAGGCTCGCGGCCTGCTCCAAGCATCCCGCACAGCCCTGAGCACCTTCAGGGCTGCCCAGAGAGCGAAAGGTCTGGTGGCATCACATCCTAATCGAGTGTGGAAGTGTTTCATGATTCTGATTGTTTGGGAAAATATCAGGAGCAGGTTTGAAGGTCGAGGAAAAAATGTGATCTGTTTTGGGCTCTTTCCCCTTAAGTGTGGGGCTGGAGCGATAGCACAGCGGCAGGGCGTTTGCCTTGCGCACAGCCAGCCTGGCCAAGCCGGGTTCGATTCCTCCACCCCTCTCGGAGAGCCTGGCAAGCTCCCCGTGACGTATTCGATATGCCAGACACAGTAACAACAAGTCTCACTATGGAGACGTTACTGGGCCTGCTCGAGCAAATCGATGAACAATGGGAGGACAGTGACAATGATTCCCTTAAGTGTAAATCACTTGTAACAGTTAAGAGGTGAGAGGACACAGAGGTCACCCAGCCTTTGGGGTTTTTTTTTTTTTCTTTTTGGGTCACACCCGGCGATGCTCAGGGCTGACTCCTGGTTCTGCACTCAGGAATCACTCCCAGCGGTGCTTGGGGGACCATGTGGGATGCTGGGAATCGAACCCGGGTCGGCCACGTGCAAGGCAAACGCCCTCCCCGCCGTGCTCTCACTCCAGCCCCCTTCCAGGCTTTGTTAACCTGTGACCCTGAGCTGATGTCAGAAAACTCAGGGCAGCTTATGGAGTATAACCTTAATGTGGCTAACTCTTTCTCTGCAGCCTGTCACTCAAACCCTACCAGAAGGTCGGTCTGAACTGGCTGGCGCTGGTGCATAAGCACGGGCTGAACGGCATTCTGGCGGATGAAATGGTGAGTGGTCAGCGCAGTGCGGGGACAGGTCTAGGACTCACCGTGAGGAGACAGCCTTGCTCTTGGATTAGAAAATGGAAATCACCCACAAACCTCGAGTTTCCAATTCGGTGCCAGAGTGTGTTCTCTTAAACTCTAGCTTTCTCATGCTGTGGTTCTATCAAATCGCTGTTTTTAAAAATGAGACATTACACGATACCGTTTTCTCAAGTAAGTTCTAAAAATCACCAAAATGCTGCCCTCTTAAAACAGGCAGATTTCGGCGTCTGTCTTTCTAGGGTTTAGGGATATCTTCGTTGTTGTTGTTTCGGCACATTTTTTTTATAGGAGCTGTGTACAGTTCAATATCTATATACTTTGAGTATTTATGAATTCCGAGTGACGTGTTTCGTAACAGGCCTTTCCTGTAACACTCCTTAACGTTCATTGCAGATAAGCAGCATTGTTGGTAAATTCACGCATTTATCACAGCAGCCTGCGTCATCGCTGAACTTCCATTAAATGTCTCTGAATTTTTGTTCCCAAAGCACATTCGTTTGATGCTAGATTTAGGGAATTCGCCACCTAATACTTCAGGTACAGTCGTATGAAAACTTGGCCTTGACCTTCCCTTCCTTTCTCTCACTGTTCCTCTTGAAGTCATACTAAAAGTGTCTCATTTTCAATTGATAATTACTGGACTGGGAAGTTTTATGTTGTGTTTCAGAGTTCCAGAATGGAATTTGCAAAAATAGGGAACCCAGATTTAAAATGAACTCCTAGTGGACTTGAAAACCACTCCTAGTGGTTTTCCATGTGATTCTTTACATTCAGGATGTTTATTCGATCAAAGGTGAATCATAAATGCAGGATTTCAAAATACTTAAAATTGGGGATCTAGAATACAGACTATTCCCTTGATTGAATTGGGGATGTAACCGCTTTCGTGGCTGCCTTGACCTTTCCCAGGGACCTGACCTCGTCCAGGAGAGTCAGATGTAGCCAGTTGCGTTTTTGCTTTCTGTCTGGGACCGTACCGGGTCGTGCTCAGGTGTCGGTGTCTCTCTGGCTCTGCCTCGGAGTCACCCCGGGGGAGTTTGGGAGACCAGCTGGGATGCTGGGAGTCGAACCCGGGCCGGCCACGTGCTTGGCGAACGCCCAGCAAAGCAAACCCCTCCCCGCTGTGCTCGAACTCAGCCCCCGCCTCCTCCCTGGGGCCTCCCTAAAGCCTGGTCCCCCTGTGGGTGACCTCTCTGCAGGCCAGTGCACAGTGAGGCCGGGGACGGGCTGTGAGGGGCCGCTCAGTCCGCGGAGAAACGCTTTATCGGTGACGTTTCCTCACGGGGACGTGTGTTCGGCTGGGTGACCTGTCCCCCGGTGAGGGCCTCCTGCGTGCAGCCCCAGACCCGACTTCTTGTGCCCTGACCCTTTTCCAGCCCCCCCAGGCCATCCCCCCCCCCCCCCCGCCCCTGCCCTGACCCCACCTGTCACGTGCCGAGAGTTCCGGTTGGTTGGGTGAGATGCGAGGTCAGGGGGCGGCACCTATGCCCGCGCCAGTCGGCCAAGTCGGCAGCCAGCCGCTTTCCCAGCCTCGTGCTGGTGGGATGTTATTTGCCCTACGACGGCCTCTGGTCGTCAGAATCACTCACCGACTCTCAGCATTCTCGCCTGTTCCCCACCGTGTATCTTTGGGCCTGGATGCATCACGCTGCCGGAAGTATTCCTAGGAGTAGAGCGGGTGGGGCGTGGAGCAGGTAACATCCAGCCCGTTTAGGACCTCGTGAGTGTTTGTGTAAAGACAGTCAGCAATTAATTCGCTTTGCCATGCAGGGTTCTGTCCTGCGATGTGTGTCAGAGTTTGCTAGGAAGATCCCCTCCACCACCGCCATTAATGAAGTCGTGTTATTTGAAGATTGTGATGAATTTTGATCTGCCTTTGTAGATACAGTAATTCTTCTGGTTGAAGTTCTCATAACTTGCATTGTGGAGACCGGAAAAAAAAACGATCCTTTGTATTTTTTTATTTCTGATTTTTAATTTTATGATTTCATGTAATTTCTTTTAAATGTTCAATTCTAGGGCCTAGGAAAAACTATTCAAGCCATTGCATTCCTGGCATACCTCTACCAAGAGGGGAATAAAGGGCCTCATTTGATCGTAGTGCCAGCCTCAACCATAGGTGTGTAAATGTTCCCATAGCTATATTGGACCTGACTGTGTATGGAAGAGGAAAAGCTCTGTGTGTGTGTGTGTGTGTGTGTGTGAGAGAGAGAGAGAGAGAGAGAGAGAGAGAGAGAGAGAGAGAGAGAGAGATTTCTTTGTACAGGTGAATATTAATTTCTGTGGTCTTCCTACTTTCTCCCTCTTTGTCTCTCTGTGTTTGATTTTACTGTCAGTCCTTTATAAGAAAACACCTTAACTGTTAGTCTTTCCACTTTAAAATCATTATAGATCAAGGACCATTTTGGGAAGATTGCTTGTTTTCATAGTACTTAAGTGGTTTGTGATAGTTCAAGATAAAACGCTTTTAAATTCGTGATCGAACTTTCATTGAGAGAGGAGCAATCCATCCTCGATGAAAGATACCAGTTCATTTTCTTCTTTGTAGACTAATAAGCAATATTGATCTGAACGTGACCTTAGAAACCGCCCTTCCCAGGGCCGGAGGGGCCGTGAGGGGTGGGTTTCGCCCTGGCCTGCTGCTTGGCTGGTGCTGGTTTCATGCCTGCACCGTCTATGTGGCCCCGAGCGCCTCCGGGTATGGCTGCAGGTCCCCCCTGAGCCCTCAGCCAGGATCGGTCCCTGCCTGTGCATGCGAGGGTGGTCCCTGCTCCCCACCCCCTGCTGTCTCCAGTTCTGTCCTTTTCACCGGCTGGAGGGAAATCCTGAAGCCTGATTTTAAAGCTCCGTCCCGTTACTGTTGTTTCTGCGTCTGTCGCCCTCGGTGACGGTTCGCTGAGCACCGGCTGGCGGCAGACTCGAGGCCTGTGTTTGTCCCCAGATAACTGGCTCCGGGAGGTGAAGCTCTGGTGCCCGGCGCTGAAGGTGCTCTGCTACTACGGTGAGAGCGGGCGGGGGCGGCCGGGACGCTCGGTCCGCGTGGCCGCGGGACTCAGTGGGCCCATCAACGTGTGCGTGTTGCTTTTCGGCCCTAGGTTCCCAAGAGGAACGGAAGCAAATCAGGTACAACATCCACAGTAAATACGAGGAGTACAACGTCATCGTGACCACGTAAGTGCCGAGAAGGAAATGCGGAAATGACTGTGTGCGTGGCCTGTCGGGTGGAGGGTCCATCTGTGAGAAAGTAGCACGTGGGAGGTTTTCTAGCTTGACATGTGACCAGAAATAGTAACGGTTCTTGTTTGTTTTGGGGGCACGCCCGGTTCTGCACTCGGGAGTCACTCCTGGGGGGCTCGGGGCCATCCGGGGCACCAGGACTGAGCCCAGGTCTGCCCGGCTCCTGCCCCAGGAGCCCCATCCCCGGGGTGATCCCCGACTGCCACCAGGCATGGTCCTCCCCCCAAAAATCAGATGGCTCATCACATAGGATGATTTCGCAGTTCAGCCAAAGCAACATTTTAAATATCCCACTGAAAGATTTTTGATAATATTTTGTAGAATATTTTTAACATTATAATATACTACTTCTTGGGGCTGGAGCCATAGCACAGCAGGTAGGGCATTTGCCTTGCATGCAGCCGACCCGGGTTCGATTCCCAGCACCCCACATGGTCCGCTGAGCACCGCCAGGAGTAATTCCTGAGTGCAGAGCCAGGAGGAAACCCTGTACAACGCCAGGTGTGACCCAAAAAGCAACAAAAAATTTAAAAAAATACAACATACTACTTCTGACCTGTAAGTTATGTATTAATCTCGTTGACAACTCATTCCCAGTTGAAAAATAGTTTCGGTAGAATTAAATATAGAAACAACAGGGATTTTGGGATTGTTTTTTTTATTTGTTTGTTTGGTCACGCCCAGCAATGCTCAGGGGTTCCTCCTGGCTCTGCGTTCAGGAATCACTCCTGGTGGTGCTCAGGGGACCATATAGGATGCCGGGGATCGAACCCCGGTCGGCCGCACACAGGGCAAGCGCCCTGTGCGCTGTATTTCTCTGCAGCAGTTTTGAAACGGTGGGTTTGAATACACGAATCGTCCTTTGGCGGCAACCTTCTGGCAGATTCAGCGTCTTCCAGCAGAAAAGGGTTCTTAGGCCGTGCCGCAGTTACCGTGCAGTTTCATTTCACATTTCACGTTTCCGCAGCATTTGGTTCTTGGTTCTCTCCATTGACTCTGTTGATTGGCCATGATTAGAATAATTCACCCAGGAAGTGTCTGCCGTCAGTCTGGGCGGGCTTGTGGAGTGAGGGCGGGACGAGGGAAACGGGGACCTTGTTGCAGGAGATGGGCACGGTGGGCGGATGCCTGTGGAACCTTGTGTGACTGAAAGCCAAACATGAACAGTTTCGCAACTGTGTATCACGATGGTTCCATTGAAAAATCCGTTGGTACTGGATACAGCTGCTACCGGGAGCCCTTGCACTCAGCCAAAATATACTGAAAGGAGCAGAAATAAAATGTAACAGTTGCAGATCACTGTTATTCTCTAGGTGAAAGTTCTCTTAATTCATCAGGACTTTTAAATGTCACCTAACTCTCACATAGAAACTCTCATGATTCTGCGTGAGAAATTGGGGTCGAGTTTGGCATCTGAACAGGAGCTGCGTAGAGCGGCGTCTTTGGGGCACTGACATTTAGAAATGTATAAAGGAGGAACTTAGCAAGCGCTCAGCAGTGTCGACCCTCGAGGCGTCTCTGTTTGTTTTCGGTGGCAGGTACAACTGTGCCATCAGCAGTTCCGACGACCGGAGTCTGTTTCGAAGGCTGAAACTTAATTATGCGATTTTTGACGAGGGCCACATGCTGAAAAACATGGGCTCCATCCGCTACCAGCATCTGATGACGATCAACGTAAGAGTGTTTGGTGAATTCCCCCAGTCTCGGTAGAACTTCAGGCCGTTGCGCCGTTCCCAGTCCTCCGTGTCAGCCGGTTTCTCTCCCGGGCTCAGCCCGTCCCTCTCTCCGACAGTGGCTGTGAGCCATCCAACACCTGCCACTTGCTCTTCCTGTTTCCCCTTTTCTTTTGTTCCGCCAGGGGGAGGGGGCGGTTCTCTCTTTTCCCGACCCTTCAAGTTATAAAACCTACTTTGCACTAATTCTGAAAGGGGGTATACATACATGACAGGGCTGGAGCGTAGCACCGCAGTAGGGCGTTTGCCTTGCACGCAGCCAGCCCCGCCAAGCCGGGTTCGATTCCTCCCTCCCTCTCAGAGAGCCCGGCAAGACGCTCAGAGAGTCTCTTGCCCGCAGGGCAAAGCCTGGCAAGCTCCCCATGGCGTATTCGATATGCCAAACACAGCTACAACAAGTCTCAAAAATGGAGATGTTACTGGGCCTGCTCGAGCAAATCGATGAACAGCGGGACTGCAACCCACAGTGCCCAGAAGGGGCGGGGGAGGGAGAGAGGGAGGGATAAAAAGTGCCTGCCATCGAGGCAGGCGGGTGGGGGATGGGGTGGCGGCAGGAGGGAACCTGGGTGGGGACATTGGTGGTGGGAAATGTGCACTGGTGAGGGGACGGGTGTTGGAGCATCCCATCTCTCTCTCTCTCTCTCCCCCCTCCCCACCCTCTCAATCACGAACGACTTTCTAGCTGTGTATCTCAGTGGTGATTCGGTTAAAAAACTAGTAGCAAAGCCAAATACAGAACCAACGCATTTTCTAATGATGACTTTGTAATCACCGAATGCAACGTGTCTCTGTGGCCTCACGAGCGATGGGGCCGTGATCTGCCGGTGTGCGGCGTGCCCCCGGGCGGTGCCCCCTTGGAGAGCCCCCGGGGCGGCGCAGTCCCACCTCCCGGAACTCCGTCCCCCCTCGCAGACTCCTTCCTTCCCAGCCACCTGGAGTTTTTCTCCGGCGCTGGCGGAAGTCGAGGAGAAGGCAGTGGCTCTGGGTTCGAGCGGGACCAGAGTGCCGACCCCCCTCTGTCCGCAGGCCAGCAACCGCCTGCTGCTCACGGGCACGCCCGTCCAGAACAACCTGCTGGAGCTCATGTCCTTGCTCAACTTCGTCATGCCCCACATGTTCAGCAGCAGCACCGGCGAGATCCGCAGGATGTTCTCCTCCAAGACGGTGAGGCCCGCCCCGCGCCTCGCTCGCCCCCGCGCCCCGTCTCCCCGGCCCTCCCTGGCCTGTCTGCTGGCCTTGGCCTCGCCCCGTGGTCGCCGGTCGGTGATCGCTGTGGCTGCGTGAGTTGGCGAGCGGCCAGGTACCAGGGGGAGAGACTTACTTTCTGGGAGTTTTGTTTCTTTTTTATTATTTTTTTTTTATTTATTTTGCTTTTTGGGTCACACCCGGCGATGCTCAGGGGTTGCTCCTGGCTCTGCACTCAGGAATTACCCCTGGTGGTGCTCGGAGGACCATATGGGATGCTGGGAATTGAACCCGGGTCGGCCACGTGCAAGGCAAACGCCCTCCCCCCTGTACTATCGCTCCAGCCCCTGGGAGTTTTGTTTCTGATGCCGGAGCTTCCTGGAGAACGGCAGTGTGTACTCTGTGGCCTATCTCCATGTACAGCACGTGGGAGACGTTGACCAGTGCTCTTTGGAAAATTGGCCGGGTGAATGGGCAGTATTTCCTTAGGAGTACGCTGTAGAACTGGGTAAAACTAGAATATCTGGAAAACGTTTACAATGAGGAAATACGTATTAGTTTTTGGGCAACACCCTCTGTGCTTCAGGATGACTCCTGGCTCGGTGCTCAGGGATCACTCCTGGCAGGTCTTGGGGATGGGTGTCATGCTGGGATCAAACCCAGGTGCCCGCTGGACAGGAGAGCAGGCCAGCCGGCCGCCTTGCACACAGGCCCCTGGTTCCATCCCCGGCAGCCCGTACTTTCCCCAGGCTCGGCCAGGAGTGATCCCCTGAGTAAGCCCCGAGCACTGCTGGTCATGGCGGCAAAACCAAAGTCAGTCAGTCAGTGGAAGTTAGTATAAGTGAATTCCGTTTAGAGGAAAAGCGTGGTGAGTTTTCGCCCTGCTAGGAAAGTACCTGACAGTTTCGAGTAATTCCCAAATTCGGTGTGCAGTGCTTAAGCCGATGGTTGATCTCGATCCCAGTAACGTGTATTTTGCAAGAACTGCTGTGACATCCTCCACTGGAAATGAGCCCTTCCACTTCGCTCCCTCAGCGAGGTGCAGCTGTGAAACCACTCGGGTCGCGGCTGCTGTGTCTGCCGGGTCTGGCTCTGCCAGTGTCAGATAAGCCTCCGTTTCCCTGATGGTCTGGAATGACCGTATTTCAAGGGCCGGATTTCCTGTGAGTGTGCGTGGCTTCCCACCTGCCCCCCTCCTGGCAGCCCCTCTCACGCCAGCCTGCAGGGCTCGGGGCGTTATTCCAGAGCCCATCACCACGCGCCTGTCTAGGCCCCCAACCTGTATGGAGCTCTCCGAAAGTCACCGCCCCGAATTCAAATGGGAAGTTCAAGTTCGTTTGGGATGAATTCCGTGTATGTCGTAAGAACCTCAGATTCTGGTCCTGAGGCTTTCGTGGTGTGTAACCCTGTAACGATGATCTAAATCAAGGTTCTAAAAGAATATATTCTTTTTTCACTTAGAAATCTGCCGACGAGCAAAGTATATACGAAAAAGAGAGAATAGCACACGCAAAGCAAATCATAAAGCCGTTTATTCTCAGGAGAGTGAAAGAAGAGGTAAAACATGTGCATTTTTGAGATTATTATTGTCCCTGTGCTTTCAAAGCCCGTTTTATCTTCGCTTGAGCTTGGTGATAAACTGCTTTCTTCCCGAAGGTCCTCAAGCAACTGCCGCCCAAGAAAGATCGAATTGAGCTGTGTGCAATGTCCGAGAAGCAGGAGCAGCTGTACCTGAGTCTTTTCAACAGGATGAAAAAGTCCATCAACAACCTGGGTACGATCTTGATTCTCACGTTTGCACGCAAAAAAAAATGCAGTCCCATCGTTTGTCTGCATTTCGTTTATTCATAAGACCGCCGCAGGGTCTGCTCATTCCAACGGCGGTTGTGATTGGTAGAGGCGCTTTTCAGGCTTTTTCCTAAGTTAGGATGTGTCTCAGCAACGCGGTCGGCCTGATCCTCTCTTCTCCCGCCCTCTGGGCCGCAGAGAAGAACACCGAGATGTGCAATGTCATGATGCAGCTGCGCAAGATGGCCAACCACCCGCTGCTGCACCGGCAGTACTACACGCCCGAGAAGCTCCGGGAAATGGCCCAGCTCATGCTGAAGGTACCGGCTTCCGGACGTGCCAGTGCCGGAGCGCGAGTGGGCGGTGCGGCGGGAAGTGGGATCTGAGCCTAGAGCCAGAACGTGTCGGGCATCGACGCCCGGGGCTGACTCTGAGGACGGTGTCCGGGGCTTCTGAGCGGCTCCCGGGCCCTGCGCCCTGTCCTGGGCTTCCTTGGGCCCTCGCCAGAGTGTGTTTAAGACGGCTGGAATTGTTTCCTTCTCGTTTTCCTTTTGGGTCACACCCAGCAGTGCTCAAGGGTTCCTCCTGGCTCTGCACTCAGGAATGACTCCTGGCGGTGCTCGGGGGATCCGAAGGGATGCTGGGAATCAAACCCTGGTCGGCCGCGTGCAGGCAAACGCCCTCCCCACTGTGCTGTCGCTCCAGCCCCAAGACTGATGGAATTACGCGGGGTGCAGGCGCCTTTGGCCGTGACCTCAGGGCTCAGGATGCCGAGGCGCAGCTCGCCTGTTGCCTCCTGTGACTGCGTCTTCAGTCCAGGGGCTGCACCTCTGATGGTTCTGACCACGGAGCCTGGGCTGATCGGCCCGGCTGTAGCTGGAAGTTCGCCAGCTCCTGTTCTCCTCTCACATGGACTTTTTTTCTTTTCTTTTTAAATTTTTATTAGTGAAACACCATGAGGTACAGTTGTAGACGTACAAATTTTGTGCTTGGGTTTCAGTTATAACAATGATCAAGTACCCATCCCTCCACCAGTGCCCATTCTCCACCCCCAATGATCCTAGTAACCCTCCCACCCCACACCCAATCCCCCACACCCCACCCCGCCTCTGTGGCAGGGCATTTCCTTTTGCTCGCTCTCTCTTCTTTTGGGTTCTGTGGTTTGCAAAAGAGACACTGAGTGGCAATCTTGCTCGGTCTATAGTCTACTTTCAGCATGCTTCTCCCATCCTGGGAGGATCCTCCCAACACCCTTTACTTGGTGCTCCCTTCTCTATCTGAGCTGCCTTTTCCCCTAGCATGTGCGGCTGGCCTCCAAGCCATCACATGGACTTTCTTTACCAAGAACACTTCTCGGATGGCCCGCCTTGGGAGTCATTCTACATTTTTTTTAAATTTTTTTTTCCTGAATTATACCTTGTATACCTGTGGCTTTGGCTAGGCCTCCTTATTTCTGCGTCATTGCCCGTTCGCACGAGCCTCTGTCATCTTTGCGTGGAAGGCAACCGTTTGCTTACTTAGAATTGTCTCTTTCCCGGTTAGTCCCCGAGCACCTGGGGTCGCTCCTGAGACAATCCCTGAGCATCCCTGGGTAGGACCCCAAAATAAAATCAGACGAAACTTACTGTGTCTTACACCTGAGAGATTTGCAGACACACAGAGTCGAGGAACAAAACGCCTGTCCCTACTCTTCCCCGTTCTGATCACGCTTACTCAGACCCTGCTAGGATCATTCAAACCAAATTCCAGGCATTATTTTATGTAAATGCAAATGTATGTCAGTTTGTTCTTTTCAATGAGGCGTTTCCCCTCTCTAGAAATGAACGTGAATCTGTGAACTCGCTGAGCTGAGGTGTGTGCGGATTGAGCTGTTGGACTTGGGCGCTCGGTCAGGCTGTTCTGCACGCCTCGTCCATCAGCTTGACTTTGAATATGTGTGTTTTGTTTTGTCCCGAGGAACCGACCCATCGTGAGGCTAACCCTGACCTGATTTTTGAAGATATGGAGGTTATGACGGACTTCGAATTAAACGTACTTTGTAAACAGTATCGGCACATCAATAACTTCCAGTTAGACATGGATTTGATTTTAGATTCTGGGAAGTTTCGCGTTTTAGGATGCATCTTGTCTGAACTGAAACAGAAGGTACTGAAGGAGAATGGTCTTCCTTTTGTATTTTCCCAGTTCTTGTCTCTTTAAAACAGTTCTGGAATGATTTGAGTTTCTTGAAGATTTACCCGGTACAGTAAATCCGCCAGAACCTGGCGTTTTGCGTATTTGGGGTAGCCATTGGGGCATATGTTTTCCTGACTTCTTTTTCTTCACCGCCTCAATAAGAACAAGAGGTTGTTCGGCCTTCCTCTCTCTGCGTATCTCTGTCTCTGTCCTGCCTGGAGAGATGCTTTCTGTTGATGCTTTAAAAAGTTTTCGTTTTCATCGTGTCATACGTGACAGCCAGTCCGATTGCTTCGAACTTTGTATTTCGAGACAGCTTGTGTAATAGATAATACGTGGACAGCTTAAGTTCACAAAACCAACCTGCAGGCAGTCTTGAGTAGCAAGACATCTTTGTTGCGAAAGGAAAATCTTCAAAGCACCTTAAAAATAAAAACGAGCTTATCTCTGAGTTTTGACGTTCATATAGCGTGCTTACCTATTTTGCAGTTGATTTGCATCGAAGACACATTGATCAGTAGATAATCTCTTTTTTTCCTCTCCCTGTTCCTGAATCGTGTGTGTCTTCACAGGGCGATAGAGTCGTCCTGTTCAGCCAGTTCACCATGATGCTGGATATTCTCGAGGTTCTCCTGAAGCACCATCAGCACAGGTACCTCAGACTGGACGGGAAGACGCAGATATCAGAAAGGTGGGTGCTTCCTCTCTCGCGCCCCAGAACCCTTTTACTTACCCACAATGAAACCTAAATCAAAACTTAGAGTTCTAAATTTTGAGGACTTGTGATCTTTAAGTTGCCTTGCTTTGAATTTATTTGGTCTTTGGTCGCGCGGTAGGTTACTGTCGCCGGGCCACCCCGGGGTGGGGGGGAAGAGTGCTGTCCCTCTGCCTGCTTCCCCTTGGCGGCTTGGTGGCCGCCATCCTCCAGAGACCACTGGACAGTCAGGTTTGGGCCCTCAGTGACAAGACACGTGGGGCCTCATGGGGTGGGGATGGAGCCGGCCTTTTCCTCTTCGTCCCAACGAGACCCCGAGTCGCTGCCCACAAAAAGCCGTTCTGGCTCCTAATCAAGCTGTTTAACGACCATGATCCAAGAGACTCAGGAACAAATCTCAGGACCCAGCAGGTTTTGGCAGAAATCCCTCCAGATTTAATCGTTAAAATTTTGGAATTTCAAAATCGTGCGGCCACTACTGCAGCCACGTGACATCATATGTTATTCTTAACCAGCAATAGAAAACAAATTGTCTACTGTTGCCTTTTCAGCAGATCTGAGTATTGGGGTAAAATCTCAAATAATAATGGTGGGTCTGGTGTCAAAATATTGAATGTAGGAGCTGGAGCAATAGCACAGCGGGTAGGGCGTTTGCCTGGCACGCGGCCGACCCGGGTTCAATTCCCAGCATCCCATATGGTCCCCTGAGCACCGCCAGGAGTGATTCCTGAGTGCAAAGCCAGGAGTAACCCCTGAGCATCGCCAGTTGTGACCCAAAAAGCAAATATATATAGCAAATATATATATATATATATATATATATATATATATATATTAGATGTAATCAAAGTAGAGAGAGAGTAATGTGGAAAATCGTCAGTAATGGGGCAGTAAAATCGTCTGTCCCACAGGTAGGCACAGGTAGGGGGAGGGTGTGGGATGGGGGGATACTGAGGTTTTTGGTGGTGGAGAATGGGCACTGGTGAAGGGAAGGGTTTTTCCTTGTATGACCGAGACTTAAACCCGAAAGCTTTGTAACTTTGTAACTGCTCTCAGGTGATTCAATAAATAAAATTATAAAAAGTGAAAAAAAAATAAAGTAAGGTGGAGTTCATGCCCAATTCAATCAGCTAAAAAGTGAAAAAAAAAAAGAAAGTAAGGTGGAGTTCATGCCCAATTCAGTCAGCTAATCGGTGGCTGGATAAATAGCAGTACTCCTACATACGAAATCACGACCATCCTGTTATTCGTCGATTGCCTCAAGCAGGCTCCTTCATCCTAGCCCTGAGATTATATTCAAGGCTCTTTAGGAGAATGAGACCCTTCGTTGTTACTGGTATTCGGCATATTGGGTATGCCACGGGGAGTTTGCCAGACTCTGCCGTGTGGGCAGGTTACATTCGGTAGCCTGCCAGTTTGTCCAAAGTAGGAATGAGATAATAAGATGTTATAATAAGATGTCGCACGGCCGCGAATGCGGCTGCGCGGTTCCAGGAGCTGGTTTTCATAGTCTCTGAGTCTTGGCCGTTGATGGGATTACACGGCCACTCCTACATTAAAAATAAATAAATAAATTTGGTCTTTGGTGACTTTAAATCATTAGCTCCAGATGCAAAATTGCTCTCTCTTCTTTCTGGTCAAATAGGTATTTGGTTTTTTTGGCCGCACCCAGAGGTGCCTTTAGTGAGATTTAACCGAATACGTTCACCTTACAGAATTCATCTCATTGATGAGTTCAACACCGATATGGATATCTTCGTGTTTCTGCTGTCGACAAAAGCTGGTGGCCTCGGAATCAACCTGACTTCAGCTAATGTCGTTATTCTGCACGACATCGACTGCAACCCTTACAACGACAAGCAGGCAGAGGACAGGTGCCACCGAGTCGGCCAGACGAAGTAGGTGCTTCCAGGTTACGTTTGTTTTGAATGAGATGCCGGAAGATTAGAGTGTAGTCTGTCAGGCCCCCTGCCTTGGGTTTTTGTGTTCTTTTTCCTAAATATCTTTGGGGAAATGTGACTGCAGGCATGATTTTATGCCAGCAGTATTAAATATTCTCGTTATTTATTTCTTAGTAATTAAATCAATTTCTTATCTTCACCTCAGATGCATTGGTAGGTTAAAAAATAAGTTTAGTCAGTGTCCAACCCTTTGAAAAAGATAAGCGATTGAAAGGGCTTCCTGATTAGACCTTTCAGAAGCCAGATGGACTGGAGTCATAGTGCACTGTAGCTGACTTATTGTCTCGGGAAATAGAATGAATCACAGGTGTTTTAGGTGCTGGTCCGCTTTGACATTGGTCAAGGGAAAATGAAGACGTGAAAGTTAATGAAGCATTCTATGATGATAAAACTGGGCTATTACGTGCTAATATCAGTCTGTGTCTTCTGTCGGAGTATTTCACTTCTAGAAGACTGACATACTCATGTATGCATCCATACTCATTAGGTATTTTGTTTGTTTTGTTTTGTTTTGTTTTGTTTGGGGGGTGCTTTTTGTGTCAAACCTGGCGATGCACAGGGGTTGCTCCTGGCTCTGCACTCAGGAATTACTCCCTGTTGGCACTCAGGGGACCATATGGGATGCTGGAAATTGAGCCCGGGTTGGCCGCGCGCAAGGCAGACACCTTACCTGCTGTGCTATTGCTCCAGCCCCTCATTAGGTATTTTGAGACTAACGTTTCCATTGTCATCTTCGCACTTCGTGTGCTGAGTTGGTTCTTGGGGCGTCAGGGGGGCATGTGTCTGAATGTCACGCTGCTGTCCAGACCCCGGGGCTGTTTGTCCTCGGGGGTCACAGTGACTGGAACGCAGGTTCCGGCTAGAGGGACAGGCTAGGGGTCAGGATGCTGGCGGGCACCACCCTCGGCACAGAGCTGGGTGTCACCCGAGCCATCCATGCCTCAGAAAGGCAGGTGTCTTGGGGATTGGTAGGAAGTGTCCATCCCGGGAGCCAGGATAAGGGCGGGTGTGTCCCACGGAGCGGTTCTCAGACCACTCCGACTAGACTCAGAAGGTGACTGAGGGTTTACGTCGCCGTCGTGAGTACGCGGTGTGACCAGGGGCCTTTCTCGTGTCTTTCAGAGAAGTGCTAGTCATAAAACTCATAAGCCAAGGGACGATCGAAGAATCCATGCTCAAAATCAACCAGCAGAAGCTGAAGCTCGAGCAGGATATGACGACTGCTGACGAAGGTAGGTCCCCCGCAGACGCCCGGGCAGGTGTCCCCGAGCCCCGTCGGCCAGGTGTGGTCACCTCTTTCTCTTCCCCGGCGAGGCTCCTGGCAGTCCTGGGGCTCAGCTTCCTGCACTGGAACACGTCTTGGGGTGGGGGCGACGGGAAGAGGGGTTGCATCCCACGAGGTGGTTGTGCCCGGGAGTGACCCCTGGAGGTGTGCGGGAGGCCGTGAGCGCTCGGGTTGGCTCAGGGCGAGAGCTCACACGGCAAGCACTCTCGCCCGTGTCCCTGCTCTGGCCCGTCACGGAAGCCTCACGCGAGAGCTTTGGAAGGCAACCGTGAACGAGTCCGTGCTGCCTTCAGTGTCCTCTTTCCCCAGTGGACCCTTTCCAAGCATGTTGCGAACATCTTGCGTCTGTAGTGTTTCAGCATAGGCATGACCCTAAGTTCCCCCGATGCCGTGTTTCACCTGTGAGAATGATTTCCAAACATGGTCTGTTGCCGCTCCCCAGATTTTTGTCCGCTTCCCCCTTGCTGGAGAGCAGCCAGAGAGCCGCTACCTCTGAGCTGTTGCTTGTTCTGTCGTCAGAACTCGGTAAATCGTTCAGTCTCCTCCTTCCATGGACAGAGGACGACCAGATTCTCTGCCCTCTCGGCAGAGGCCGTTTTTCTTTGAAAAAATGAGTCCAGGTAATGGAGGTCCCATCCAGAGAGGTTTGGCGTGAGGGTAGTTTGCACCGAAGTGCCTTCACCCTCGACCGTGGCCCTGGCCGTGACCCGGTCCTCAGAGTCTCGATGCAGGTGGAGTCTGAGTTGGTCGCTGGGTCTTTGAGCTGGAACCAGTGGGCAGAGAAAAGGATTTCTGGTTGGCGGCCTGAGAGACCTTTGTTGCCTTTGTTCTCGCCAGTCGTTGGCTGTGTGGGGCCCGAGCCATGGGATGGCAGGTCGGGTGTGTGCCTGCATGCAACTCACTGGCCATCGAGCCCCAGATTCACTCACCCCCCCAAAAATGTTCTCCTCGAGCAAACCCAAAGCGCCGTGCTGTGTGCACCGCATGCAGGCGACCGAGCTGTGTGTGTGTGTTCATGTTCCTGTCTCGAGCGCGGAGCTGGAGGCCCGGCTCTGTGTGTGCGACCATGTGTGTGTGTGTGTGTGTGTGTGTGTGTGTGTGTGTTGCGGGGGGTGGGGGGTCCCGTGTGCGCACCCAGCTCCCCAGCGCCTGGCCTCTCTCCCGCAGGGGACGAGGGCAGCGTGCCCGCCGACATCGCCACGCTGCTCAGGACGTCCATGGGCCTGTGAGGCCGGAGCCGGAGGGGCCGCCGCGACCGACCGGACACCAGGACGCCCAGCACGGCCGGGGACTGACGGACCTTCTCGACTTTTCTAGTTTCCATGTTCCCTTTCTCACAGTCCGGGCGACTTTTTTGGCCACTCACTGAATTCTCCAGATGCTTCGTAAGGATTCGGGGGCGGGGGGTATCAAAGCCACAACTCCTAGTGCTGACGACGTCGAGGAATCATTTTGCAAACAGTTTTTCTGAGCGGGGATTAGTTGGTGATTGTTTGTAACAAATCCGCTGATGCTTTAGAAATGTCAGTATTTTTGTAATTATTTCTACCTCCAAATATATATATATTGTCTTTCACTGGATAGCGTGCGTAGATTTTTACCTGTGCCTTATTTGACAGTGCGTAAGTCTCGTTTCTGCCCGTGTCCCCGGGAGTCCCTTTCTAGGCTTAGTCGGCAGGTTGCCGCCGTGTGGGTCCAGCTTTGTGTTGATGCTGTTTGCAGCAGACGGTCACCAGCGCCAGCCAGAAGAACCCGCACTCACGTCCCCGCGGCCGAGGCCAAGGCAGCGCCACAATCTCCTGGACTAAAGTCGGCCATAGACCCTCGCCCCCGTCTTGAGTTCAAGCGACCTCCAGGCTTGGCCCCTGGTATCCTGCCCGCAGGCACCGGGCGGGTGTGACTGGCGCAGCCCCGACCCCTGTCCCCACCTCACTTGGTGCTTCTCGGCCAGCTGCCCCGTGTGCGGGTTCCACGGCGTCTCCCCTGGCCTCTGCTGCCCGGAACCCCCGCGGTCACCCCGCTCCGGCTCCCCTTCGGAACACCCGACCGTGTTCCCGCTGCCTGCACGCCCGCACGGCCCGGGCCGTCGTCCCCCGGCAGAGCAGGTCAGCGCGCGGCTGCAGGCTGAAGGCAGCTCCTTCGAGGGCGGTGTGGACCCTGCGGCAAATGGTCACTTGGTGCGAGTCTCGCCCGCTGTGAGGCCTGTGTCCAGCGTGGCGGGACAGGCCTCCCGGGAGACGGCGTGAAGTTAGAAGTGAAGTTGTCTCGGATGCGTAACTCTTCGATACTCCTTTGAATTTTTGCCTGTCAGATTATATTGCTGTTTTTTTTTTTTTTGTTATACATCATTTTCCTTTGTATAACTTGTGAGCTTCCCATGTTTCGTTTCCAGTATGTAAATATCGTTATAAATAAACTTATTTATAAATCAAGGTCTTGTTCGTTCTTGGTGATCAGACTCTTCACGGCATCTCGACTTGCTGGGTCCTGCTAGAGGACAGAGCAGTTTTCTAGTGGCTCTGGCGTGCAGACTCGGAGAACTCGTGGCTCGCAGACATCCCTCTGGAAGGTGTCTTGAACATAGGCGATATTGATGTGATGGGGCGGCAGGTAATATGGCCTCCTCCTCTTCCTCCTCCTCCTCCTCCTCCTCCACACTCCCCGAACCACTGAGGTTGTTGAGGGTATGATCTCTGATACTCTCACGACGGAGCTCTCATCCTTTTTCTGTGTTGTATTTCTTTTAAGTCCATCTCATTTTAATCCTACTGAAATGTAGTTAATGACGTCTTGGGCTTAATAAAAGTATTTGCGATCAGAAGTCGTATTTTTACACCCTTTTTAAATCTTTGCTAAACTTCCCTCCCGTTTCCCTGGGGGAAAAAATACAGTATTTTGCACAAATAGATCACTGGACGTGATGATGTGTTAATTTCAGGGAACTGGACTTCCGTGGCTTAGTGTCCACATCGTGATCTGTGTCCGCACTGAGCAGGTGCAGCTGGAGTTTGCTTTAAGGGCGACTCAGACCCGGGGCCTCACATGCTCCCCCCAGCCGGGGGCCCTACTCAGGGCCAGGCCGTGTGCCCGCCTTTGTCTGCCTGGAGACAGCCCCCCAGGGTCATTGGGGAGTGGGGCCTGGGGAGTGACCCTGCAGGCTGGGCGCGGCTTTGGTGCAGAACAGGACCGCGTGTGGGTCCCGAGCACGGGGCCTTGACCTGCTCCCTGCGGGAAGTAGCATGCTGGTGTCTGGCCTTTGCGCGTCCTCCAGAACCTTCTGTCTAGGTCCGCTCCCGGCTCGGTTGGTGCCAGTTGCGTGTGGACGTAGTGGGCTCGTCCATGCTGCCCAGGCTCTGAGCACAGTGTCATCTGCAGCCGGCCGCCCCCTCCCCAGCACTCGGTTGGTGATTGGGCCCTTACGCCCGGGGACAAGGTGTCCCTGTGTTTCCTCTGGGCCCAGGATCAGACTCCGGCCCGTGTGCAACACAAGGCGCATGGTCTGCCCCCGAGAGGGACCCTGTGCCCAGATCTGTGTTAGTTTTCTCGGTAACGCTGGGGTTGAGCCCAGGGCTACTCCTTGGGGGAGGCGCTCAGTGACCCAGAGAGGAGCTGGGTTTGACGTGAAGGTGGGAGTCCCGGAAACAGACCTGCTTCTAAGAGGATCAGCCGCCAGTATCGGGTGAGGGCCACTCAGGGGCCCCAGGGGTTCCGTCTCGCCCGGCTGGAGTGCCCACCGTTAGCAGGGGTCCCTGCTGCCGGGAGCTGGTCAGGAGCTGCAGCAGGGCCGGCCGCGTCGGGGAGAATCCCCAACCCCTCGGACCCGTGACCATGCGAACCGCCTGGCTGCCCTTCCCTGGACCTGCCTAGAGGAAAGGTGGGTCAGCTCTGGAAGGTCGATCGGTCCTGTGATGACTGAGCTGATCTGGTTCGGTTTAGGCTTCCGGTATTTCAGTGGCGCTTATCGTAGTTTGGGTTTTCATGATTCCGTCCGGGCCACACCCAGCAAGGCTCAGGGTCCGCCCCTGTCCGTGCTCAGGAGTGAGTCCTGGTGGTGGTCGAGGACCATGTGTGGGACCCCATCCCACGCCACTCTCGCCGTGTCCCGAACGTTCTCGTAGCTCATTCTTTGTTTCCTGGAATCAGCTTTTTAAAATTAATGCGATTGATTTTCCATTTTAAAAAGTCCCTAAATTCAATTTTATGAAAGTGCCCTTATTTACAAAGTCGCTCATTCGAGGTTCCGCCACCGGTGCCACCGGTCCCTCCGCCAGTGTCGACTTCCCGGCCTCCCTGGGCCCCCTCCCGCCCCTCCCCCAGCCCACATGGCCCTCCGGACAGGCGCCTTCTCAGGTTTGGCTACTGGAGTTTGGGTCTCGTGGCTTCAGTGTGGTCGACTCTGGTTTGGCCACTGAGCTCTGTCGCCCTGGTGACTTTGCCTCTTGCTTCCTGTTGCTTCTCCTTCTCTCCCCCCTCCCTCTCCTTCTCTGTCTCTCTCTCCTCTCTCCTCTCTCCCTTTCTCCCTCTCTCCCTCCCTCCCTCCTTCCTTCCCTCCCTTTCTCTCCCTCCCTCCGTCTCTCCCTGTCTCTCCCTCTCTTTCTTCCTCTCTCCCCCTCCATCCTTCCCTCTCTCTCCCTCTCTCATTCCCTCAGTCTCTCTCCCTGTCTCTCTTTCTCTCCTCTCTCCCTTCCTTCCTCCCTCTCTCTCTCCCCCTCTCTCTCCCTCTGTCTCTCCCTCTCTCCCTCCCTCTCCTTCTCTGCCCCTCTCCCTCTCTCTCTCCCTTTCTGTCTCTCTTCCTCTCTGTCTCCCTCTCTCTTCTCTCTTCTTCTCTCCTCTCTCCCTCTCTTTCTCCCTCTTTCTCCCTCTCTCCATTTCTCTCCCTCTCCCTCTCTCCCTCTCTCCTTTCCTCTTCCTCCCTCCCTCCCTCCCTCCCTCCCTCCCTCCCTCCCTCCCTCCTTCCTTCTCTCCCTTTCTCTCTGTAACACACAGTGGTGCTTGGGGGTTACTCCTGGCTCTGTCCTCAGGAGTCACCCCTGTCATTGCCTGGGGGACCCTTTGTGGTACGGGGGAGCAGAGCTGGATCGGCCACAGGCAGACAGGTGCCCACCCCACTGGACTGCGGCTGCCGCCGCTGCCTCAGCTGCTTCTCAGTCTCCTTCACCCACGCCCACCCGTGGGCGAGGACTCCACTCACTGTCTTTCTTTCTCCTATCTGTACTTTGGGCCCAAGGAGGGTCTAGGCAGCCCCTGCCCTTTAAACCATTGCATTTAGCTAAGCTGATTCCGAGGACCTTGATTTTCTGAGGTACTATTGTCAACGGGATTGTTGTTTTTTTTTTAATGTCTCTTTCTCCTCTTTCGTTATTTGTATATAAGAAAGCCATGGACCTTTGGGTGTTGATTTTGTAGCCTGCCACTTTAATAAACCAACCTATTGTTTCTAGGAGCTTTTCCGTAGAGTCTTTAGGGTTTTCTTAGTATCATATGGTCAGCAAATAGTGATAGTTTGACCTCTTCCTTTCCTATCTATTCCCTGGATACCTTTCTCTTGCCTAACTGCAATGGCCAGGACTTCCAGTACTATATTGAATAGGAGTGGCGAAAGCGGACAGCCTTATCTTGTGCCCGATCTTAGAGGGAAGGCTTTTAGTTGTTCCCCATTGAGAATGGTACTTGCCGTGGGTTTGTGGTAGGCGGCTTTGACTATATTGAGGAAAGTTCCTTCAATGCCCATTTTGCTGAGAGTTTTCATCATAAATGGGTGCTGGATCTTGTCAAATGCTTTCTCTGTGTCTATTGATATGATCATATGCTTTTTATCTTTTCTTTTGTTGATATGATGGATTATACTGATTGATTTCCAAATGTTAAACCATCCTTGCATCCCTGGGGTGAATCCTACCTGGTCAGGGTATATGATTTTTTGATGAGTTGTTGGATTCTGTTTGCTAACCAAACTAAGAAGCTTCTGCACTTAAAAATAAACAGAGACCAAAATACAGAGAGAGCCCACGGAATGGGAAAGAATATTTGCCCAATACCCATCTGATAAGGGATTAGCGTCCAGAATATGCAAGTAGAATTGTACAAGTAAAAACCTCCAACCCCATCAAAAAATGGGGAGAAGAGATGAGCAGAATTTTCCTCAAAAAAGAAATACAAATGGCCAAAAGGCACCAGTTGCCCCCCACGAGCGGCTCTCCGGCACGGCCACAGCCCCGGAGGCACAAGGACTTAGCACAGAGAGCCACCCGCTTGGAGCAGAAAAGCAAATGGACTATGTGTTAAACCGCGCCAGCATGCCTGCCCAGAGGGGAAAGGGTGTTGTCCCACTCGCCTGCTCCTCTCTGGAAAGAAAGATGGCGGCCGCACGGGAGCCTTGTGGACAGCAGGTTTGAGCCGCGGCTGGGGACGGCAGGGACCTCATGGGAAGGGGGGCGTAATGGGCCGTCCTTCACGCCCGACCGAGGTCACCGGCTGCCCCCCACGAGCGGCTCTCCGGCACGGCCACGACTCCAGAGCACAGAAACCAATCTCTTAACTATCTAACTTTTAGTAGAAATACTTCCAGGGTTAATAAGTAAATAGTAGAAATCCAAAACCAACGTTTAATTCCTGAACCCAGCTGTAGAAAGCAAATCATTTCACAACGCTTTTTCAGCATGTCTGATTGGGGGGGAGGGGGTAAACTCTAAATAATAATGGTACATCTTTTATCGAAACAATGAATCTAGTCAAAGTAGATAGAGTGTTAACTCGAACTCATCTGCCTCACAGGCATTGGGAGGGTTGGGGGGTGGTGGAGGTTTATTGGGGTTCTTCATGGTGAAAAATAAGTATTGGTAAAGGGAAATGTGTTTGATATTTGCATGACTGAGACCTAAACCTGGAAGCTCTGTAACTTTTCCCACAGTGATTCAATAAATAAATAAATTTTTAAAAAAATAAGTTTTAGAGATAATTAAATTGTCTTTTCTTTAATACTGTAGACAAATGTGACATTGTTATCAAGGGAAGTTTACATAAAGATATTGTGAATGATTTGTTACAACATATAGAACCTATGTAAATGGATGATGATAAAACATTCAAAAAGGGTACTTCCATAAAAAGCTTCAATTTGTCCCAAACATTGTATATAGATTGTTTTCTAAACATTTTTGATGGATAGCATGTATATAAAACCTAAGTTAGAATTCTGGAGAAGCACAGTAAATGACTCATAGTAAATGACTCAAAAAAAAAAAAAATGGCCAAAATGAAAAAATGCTCCACATTGCTAGCCATCAGGGAGATGCAAATCAAAACAACAATGAGATATTATCTCACACTACAGAGACTGGCACACATTCAAAAGAACAAAAGCAACCGATGGTGGCGTGGATGTGGTGTAAAAGGGACACTCTTTCACTGTTGGTGGGAATGCCCACTAGTCCAGCCTTTCTGGAAAACAATATGGACAGTCCAAAAACCGGAAATTGAGTTTCCATATGACCTGCAATACCACTTCTGGGAAAAAAATCCCAAGGATGCAAAAAAGCACAGTAGAAATGACATCTGTACCAAATGTTCATTGCAGCACTGTTCACAATAGCCAGAATCTGGAAACAACCCAAATGCCCTAGAACAGATGACTGGTTAAAGAAACTTTGGTACATCTACGCAATGGAATATTATGAACTTTGCTTATAAATGGGTAGACATGGAGAGTGTCATGCTAAGTGAAATGAGTCAGAGAGGGACAGACATGACATGGAAGGAATGCACTCATTTGTGGAGTACGAAACAACATAACATGAGGCTGACACCTAAGGATAGTAGATTGCTCCATAGCTGGAAGCCTGCCTCATGAGCAGAGGGGAGAAGGCAGCTGGGACAGAGAAGGGATCGCTAAGAAAAAGATGGCTGGAGGAATCGGTCAGGACGGGAGATGCTCGCAGAACGTAGATAAAGGACCAAACATGGTGACCTCTCAGGGTCTGTATTGCAAGCCATAATGCCCCAAAGGAGAGAGAGATTATGGGGAAGCATGTCTGCCATGGAGGCAGGGGGAGGGTGGGAAAGGGGAGGATATTCCGGGGATATTGGTGGTGGGGAATGTGCACTGGGGGAGGGATGGGGGTTTGATCATTGTGTGACTGGAACCCAAACATGAAAGCTTGTAACTCTCTCAGAGGGTGACTCAATAAAATTTAAATGAAATGAAACCATTGCATTTCCTCCAATTTCCTGGAATCTTTGATCCCCTCAGACTTCCTCTCTGCCCCTCTGTCTGTGACTAGTGAGTTGTTCTCCAAGGGTTCGGGTTTATTTCTGTTTGTGTTTCTGGGCGTTACCAGCTTTCAAAGCACGGCGGTCGGAGACGGGAGTCGATTTGCTCATCAGCAAACGTCGACTTGGTTCTATGAGGATGTCTGTGATACAGCGCGTGGTGTGTCCTGGGCACTGTCTCGTGCAGCGGGGAGCGTGTGTGTGTCTTCTCAGGGAGGGGAGTGAGCGTGTCCCTGCACAGTCACCAGGGCTGCGGGCTGGTCCTCGAGGGGGCTGGGGGCCTGAGGGGGCCCCCACCCGCTCTCCTCGTCCCTCGGCTGACTGGCTGCGTTTCTGCAGAGTGTGCCGGGCCTGGGGGGAGCAGACAGCGGGCGCTTTGCCTTATGTGTGAGCCGCAGTGAGCGGCCAGGGACACTGACCATGACAAGCAACCAGGCTGGCCATTGCCCGCTGGGGCCGTGTCATGGTGGGTGGCTGAGAGCAACAGGCCGCAGCCCAGCACATCCGTCCAGTCACTTCTCTTCCTGCACACCTCGGGGAACATGCAGTGACCTGTGCGTGCTGCAAGCGGGCCCGGTTCCTTGCTTGGACAGTGGAAGTATCCGGGAACTGTCCAGCTGAGTGCCCTGACCCTCTGTCCAGCTCAGCGACTCTCCCAAGCCGACCTGGTGGAGCTCAGGGACGGTCAGCTTGGGGACAATCAACTTGGGGACGATCAGCTGGGGGACGGTCAGCTCAGGGGGACGGTCAGCTCGGGGGATGGTCACCTCGGGGACGGTCAGCTCGGGGGATGGTCACCTCGGGGACGGTCAGCTCGGGGGATGGTCACCTCGGGGACGGTCAGCTCGGGGGTGGCCTCGTGCACCTAGAGTCTGGTCGGGGGCCTCCGCTGTATCCACTTGGCGATGGCGGGGAGGGCTTGGACCCGCGTCCGGAGCGCGGCCAGCCGGGGGTGGCCGGCCAGCAGGTCGGGCTGGAGGACCAGGAGCGTGCTGCTGCAGATTTCCCAGTAGAAGTCCACCCACGTCACCTAGTTTCAAGAAAAAAAAAAAAAATTTGCATTTCAAAATAAAAGACACAAGTTCCCTTTTGGGGGCGTCCAGACTTCAGTGATCTTTCTCGTGAGGGTCCGAGGGCTACGCCGGCAGTGCTCAGGGCTTGCTCCCCGCTCTGTGCTCAAGGATCACTCCAGGTGGGGCCCGGAGGCCCCGGGGTGCTGGGGAGCGAGACCCGGTCGGCGGGGTGCCAGGCAGGGGCCCTCCCGCTGTGCGTCACTTTCGCCCGCCCTTGCCAAGGCAGGAACATACTCACGGAGTCGCCCACCAGCCACTCCTTCTCCCCCAGGTACGCGTCCAGGTCCTGCAGGAGGCCAGGGGCTTCCTGCGTCAGCAGCTGGGTGAAGGCCTGCTCCTAGGGGAGGGGCGGTCACTGAGGCCCAGGAGGGAGCCCGTGTCCCCGCACTCGCCCCCACCCCACAGCGCCCCGGACCCCCTCTCTGCGCTCTGACCGCAAGGGGGAGGCTTCTCTGCTTTTGCTCTCATGCCTGGTCCCAGAAAGAAGCGAGAGCCAACTGTCCTCTGACGAATGACGTTGACTCCAGCCCGGCTCAGGCCTTAGTCGCCCTTTATGGGCCGAAAGATTCGCCGTGCTGCGGTCTGCGGTTCTCACTTGCTTTATGGGTAATAAATCTTTCCTCCCTAAAATCTTTGGGGGTTTTTCCTCTTAATTTTTATCAATGGACAAATGACTCCATTATGTTTGCAGACATTTTATATTTTTCCTAATTTTTGGGGGGTTTTGGAATACATCAGGCTATGTCAGGCCTAACTCCTGGATTTGTGCTCAGGACTGACTCCCAGCTCTGTGCTCAGGGCTGACCCCCGGCTCTGTGCTCAGGGCTGACTCCCGGCTCTGTGATCAGGGCTGACTACTGGCAGGGCCCCAGGACCCTAAGGCATGCGAGGAAGACCACCCACTCACTTGGCTCACATGCATTTAGTCAAAACCTGGCACGTGGCCACCCGGGGTTTGACCCCAGCACCTCAAGGAGTGAATCCTGAGTTTGGTCTGGGTGTGGCCCAAACCACCCCCCAAGAAACGCCCCAAATCCCAGGGGAAAGAACACAGCAATATACCGAAAAGATTATACACCATGTACAAGAGGGCTTCATCTCAGTGATGCAGGTTAGGTTTCATAAGTATGAATCAATTCATGCAACACAAACAAAAAGGAGATAAGCAACAAGAAAGATAAAAATCATGGGATCATAACAATCGACACAGAGAAGGCTTTTAACGAAATTCAACACCTATACAAGATAAATAAAAAAAATAGGAATGGAGGACGTCTGAATGAAGTGGCATCTGCAAAAAACCCACAGCCACACCAGACTCAGTGAAGGACAGCCTGAGATCAGGCGCAAGGCAGGACCTCGGCCGTTTCTGTCACTCGACAGTTTCCCGACACAGCACGCAGACGAGAGAAAGACACCAAGAAGATCCAAACTGGAAGCCAGACTCCCAGCACGCTCGGACGTCATGACGCTCAGAAAACTCTAAAGGCCACCAAAAGCCTCTTAGAAATAACAAACCAGTACCGCAAGGTATCAAGTTACAGAATCAACACACAACACCCATGACACCTGTACACAAGTAACACAGGAAGCTGTTTGGACTTGGGGCCACAGCCGCAGTGCTGAGGCTCCCAGTTCTGTGCTCAGGGATCACGCCTAGCCGGGGCCCAACGTACGAGTGCTCGGAATCAAACCGTGCTGCCTCGTGCAAGGCAAAGGCCTTACTCGCTCTACTGTCTTCCTGGACCTAAAACACAATTTTGTGTATCTTTGGTTTGGGGGCCACACCCCGCTGTGCTCAGGGGTTACTCCTGGCTCTGTGCTCAGTGACCTGTATGGGGTGCTGGGATGAACCTGGCCGGCCGTGTGCGGGGTCAGTGCTCTCTCTCTGTCACCTTTACTCTCTCGGGCCCCTTAAAACGCGTGTTAGACTGTATCCCATGTATCTGTCCTTGTGAATTAACAAATGTCCTACCTTCTCTTCCAAAAAGTTATGAGAGAAAAGATTTGTTTTTGACCCTGAGAAGTCCTTGGTGTCGTATTCTAGCAACTGACTTTTAGCGAAGTGACGGAGAATTGTAGATTTCTCCAAGGCATTATTTTATCATCACTTTTCCATTTTTTTTTTTTGGTTTGGTTTTTGGGCCACATCTGGCTCTGCTTGGGGCTTCCTTCTGACTCTGCGCTCAAGGATCACCCCTGCAGGTCATCTGGGAACCATATGTGGTGCGAGGGATGGGACCCAGGTCGTTGTGTGCAAGGTAAGTGCCTGGCCGGCACCAAGAAGGTGTTTTACAACCAGCTACCACCGTCGTTTAAGACTGAACCACTTGGGGCTGGAGTCGTAGCACAGCGGGGAGGGCGTTTGCCTTGCACGCAGCCAAGCCGGGTTCAGTCCCCAGCATCCCATCGGGTCCCCCGAGCACATCCAGAAGTAATTCCTGAGTGCATGAGCCAGGAATAACCCCAGAGCATCACTGGGTGTGACCCAAAAAGTAAGAAAAAAGTCTGGGCCACTCCCACTCCTTTAACCCTGCTCCCCGCCGCTGCCCCGCCTGGTCCTAGGACTACAGGCTGGCACATGGCTGCCCAGTTCACCCCCGGCACACAGGTGGTGGCCCAGCACCCACCAGGCGGAGGCCCTGAGCACAGAGTCAGGGGTGACTCCGGAGCACGTCCGGGTGTGGCTAAGCCCCACCAACCACCAGGGACGAACCTCAAGACCAACCATCAGAGAAACAATGTGCTTCTTCACAATGTGCTTCTTCGGTTAAGATGAACTTTGTTTCGAACTGGCAGTGGAATGTGTCCCTAATGGACGTTTCAGCAGGAACAGTTCCCTGTCCAGGCGCCTCTTCATTCAGTGTTTCCTGCTTCTGCTGAGCAGAAGGGGGCAGCAGTGCCCGCCACCACAGGGGAGGAGGTGCTTGCTTCTGTCTCCTAACGGTCCTGCTGGGGGGGGGGGGGGGGGCAGAGGCAGCAATTGCGACCCCTGAACCTGCTCCCCTGCCGGTGGTTTGATTGGGAGTCTCCCTGGCCTCACCTCCTCCTGCAGTACCTAAGCCGCTGATGGGGAAGAACACTGCTATGCTGTCGTGAAGGTAGAGTGGGATTCCTTTTGGTTTGCTTTATTTCGAAGCCCTCTGCCAACCCCGCCCCCATTGGTGCTCCAAGCCTACTCTTGGCTGCATGTGCAGGAGTGGCCCCTGGCCATGCTCTGGGGGCCCCCCTGCGTGCTGGGAATCAAACCCTGCCCCAGGCATGCGAGGTAAGAGTTTGGTCTCCGGTTCTCTCCCCGAGCCCTCCAGAAGATTCTTTGCGAGATCGTCTCGGGCATGAAGCCACGATGGGGCACAGAACACACAGGAAGGAAGGAGCAATGAGGTGGCAGGCAGATAAGCGGGTGGGACTCTGGCTGTACGGTAAAATACTCGTCTCTAAGTCTCCGGAAACTTAGAAAAGAGTCACGGTCACTTTCCTCCCGTTGTTCATCGATTTTCTCGAGCGGGCCCAGTAACAGCTCCATTGGAGACTTTGTTGTTACTGTGTTTGGCATATCGAATACATCACGGGGAGCTTGCCCAGCTCTGCCATGCGGGCGAGATACTCTCGGTAGCTTACCGGGCTCTCCGAGAGGGGCGGAGGAATTGAACCCGGCTCAGCCAGGCCGACTGCGCGCAAGGCAAATGCCCTACCGCTGTGCTATCACTCCAGCCCTACAAAAGAGTATTTTGTCCAAATTTATGCAGACATGTAAATAATAGATGCCGTGTCTTTTGTTTTTTCACAAAAGGAAGAACGATAAGCAGTGTTCATAGGATAACACAAAATAACAGTAAGAGCTCACAGTGTCTACCTTGACAACGACATCAGAGTAGATTCTGTGATCTCCCGACCTCACAGACAAAGACTCTGAGCTCCCGACGGGAGCTGTGTGACAGCGTGAGTGAAAGGGACTAGAATCCAAGCTGGGCACCTGACTCCAAGAACCCACTGTGTTTATGGCAGCACTTTCTTGTGAGTTTTTCTAGCGCGTCTGTTTTGTCCTGTGCCCCCACTGGACAGGCCTTGAGCCAAGCAGCTGATCTGAGCGGCAGCGCCAAGAGTAAGAAACGGCGCGTTACTCTCACGTCCGGCTTCTTCTCGGCCCAGGGAAACCGCGACATGAAGTCGTCCAGCGTGCTGGCCACCCCGTCCACCTGGCACTGCTCCAGCTCCGTGCTGCCCGCCAGCTCTGTGGGGAGAAACGGCCCGTCCCGTGCCCTGAATGCACTCGAGCACCGTGCAGAGAGCCCGGCTTGCTTTGTGTTTGGTCTGTTTGCTTCTGTTTGGGGCGACTCGGGGCTGTGCTCGGGGATCACGCCCGGCGGGCGGGGGGCATCTGGGTGTCGGATCCCCAATGACGCTCCTGGGCCCTCCGGGTACCCTCAGCACAGGGACCGAGCAGGCACCAGGCCTGCAGTGGCCGCAGCTTGACCCCCACACACCACAGAGTCTCCCAGCACCGTGGGTGTCTCTGAGCACAGAGCCCGAGAAAGCCCTGACCTGAGCCCTGCGGGGTGCGGCCCTTCCCCTGCCCGCAGACACAGCCACACGCCCACCTGCACTCAGCCACGGGGAAACGGGCGGGGTCCGAGAGGCGGGGCGAGGCCCACCACGGGCTCCGTGTCTTGGTGCCCGCAGACTTGGGGGTCCTGCCAGGGACTCGCTGCCCCGGCCCTTCCTCTGCCGTTTGTCTCCAAGGAATGGGATTTGTGGCTCTAACGACGACTTGCTCTTAGTTAAAGCCCACGGGACTCAAACCGGTGCTTCAGCCCGAGGCCTAGTCTAGCGCTTGTGCCCCCCTTTTGTTTGCAGGGGGTGGGTGGGGGCGCTGGGCCACACTTGACAGTGCTCAGGGCTGACTCCTGGCTCTGTGTTGGGGCTGACTCCCGGCTCTGTGCTCAGGGCTCACTCCCAGCTCTGTGCTCAGGGCTGACTCCTGGCTCTGTGTTGGGGCTGACTCCCGGCTCTGTGCTCAGGGCTCACTCCCAGCTCTATGCTCAGGGCTCACTCCTGGCTCTGTGCTTCAGGCTGACTCCTGGCTCTGTGCTCAAAGTTCACTCCTGCTCTGTGCTCGGAGCTGACTCCTGGCTCTGTGCTCAGGGCTCACTCCCGGCTCTCTGCTCAAGGCTAACTCCTGGCTCTGTGCTCAGGGTTCACTCCCGGCTCTGTGCTCAAGGCTGACTCCTGGCTCTGTGCTCAGGGATGACTCTTGGCTCTGTGCTCAGTGCTCACTCCCAGCTCTGTGCTCAGGGCTGACTCCCAGGGGACCTGATGGGGTGGGGCTCTGGCCCTGGAGGGACACTAGGCTGGTGGCTTGCCGCTGTCCCAGCTCTCTGCCCCGTTTCCTTTCTGTCCTGGCACGACTACAATGAAGGGACAGCAAGTGAGCGAGATGAAGCCACGGAGGAGTTTCAGCCTCCAGACCCCACCTGTGCCTGCGGGCACCTTCCTGGGTTCCTTAGGGCGTGGGTGGGGCAGAGCCTGGCCAGACCCTCTGAGCACCTTTCCAGGAGCTTCGGGTCAGGGCTCGGGGCTACACTTGTGTCAGGAAGCAGGAGTGAGCACGGGGAAGTGAAGTGACTGTCCGGGCAAGCCATGTGAGATGGACCGAGCACAGACGCCTTTCTAGTTTCCTCCAGCCGACCAGCCTGCTGGGCCCACCCGGGGCAGCACTCGGGGGTCCCTATGGGGGCTCAGGGACTGCAGAGCATGCCTGGGTGCTGGGTGCTAGGTGAGCCCCCCCTCCCCCACCATCCTACCCTCTGGCCCTGCTCATCCAGATTCACGGGGTCTTCTCACCCGTCAGGCCCTGCTCCACCGCCGAGGCGACCCCCGGGCCTCTCCTCACACCGACCCAGCCCTGCTGTGTGGGACTCCCCCTCGGTGCTCCTGCTGAAGCCCACCCCCGCTCAGTGCTCCCTGCCACTGGGCCCGTCCCACGGAGAGGGGACGGCCGTGTGTGCTGCTCGCGAAGCCCCTACCTGTGTTTTTGGTCAAGTATCTGGCTATGGCGAGGCTCTGGTGCAGGGTGACTCCATCGACCTCCAAGATGGGGATTTTGCCAAATGGAAGCCCTGAAAGAAACAATGACAGCAAAGGGTCAACTTCCCGAACGCGGCCACAGCCATGGTTCCGCCCCTTTCGCTAACAATCGCTCCAACGAAGCCTGGGTTCGAGATGGATCATTTCCTCTAGAGCCGCCTTCTGTGGAAGCCTTTACGTTGTGTACGACAAACAGTGTGTTAGAACGCTCTAGGACGAGAAAATCAGAGCCCAGACCCATGCGCGCAGTGTATAAATGTGTCTATGATTGCATGTTGTCTCATTGGTGTATATGTGTATATAAAAGGATATTATACCATATTCTTTTTTTTTTTTTTTTGCTTTTTGGGTCACACCTGGCGATGCACAGGGATTACTCCTGGCTCTGCACTCAGGAGTCACCCCTGGCAGTGCTCAGGGGACCATATGGGATGCTGGGAATCGAACCCAGGTCGGCCGTGTGCCAGGCAAACGCCCTCCCCGCTGTGCTATCTCTCCAGCCCCGCCATATATACTCATAACTCAACCTTAAAAAATTCTCTGAAAGTCTTACTGATTTTTGTAACCTCAGTCCTGTATCATAGTATTTTCTGTACCTGTACTCTAAAGGATACAAATATTTATCACTGAATGAATTGCACTGCACTGTAGACTGTCCTCCCGTTGTTCATCGATTTGCTCGAGCGGGCACCAGTAACGTCTCACAACAAATTGTGAGACTTGTTGTTACTGTTTTTGGCATATTGAATACGTCACGGGGAGCTTGCCAGGCTTTGCCATGCGGGCGAGATACTCTCAGTAGCTTGCGGGGCTCTCTGAGAGGGGCGGAGGAATTGAACCCAGGTCAGCCGTGTGTGCAAGGCAAACACCCTGCACCCGCTGTGCTAGGGTAAAGAATGTAGCGAAGGGGATGGACGAGAGTACAGTGTGCAGGGCATTTGCCCTGCTCGCGGCCGAGCCGGATTTGACCCCGCGCACCCTACGTGGTTCCCTGAGCCCTTCCAAAAATGATCCCTAAGTCAGAGCCAGAAGTTAAGCCCTGAGCACAAGTCAAGTGTGGCCCCCAGTAACAGCAGCAGAATCTAGCTAAATTCTCATTTTCATGAGTGAGCATGTGACGTACATAGAAGACATGCTTGCACAAACATGACAGATTTATAACACAGAATGTACATTGATTACAGAAAAAAAGCCTGACTTGAGAAAACATTAAAATAACCCTAACACATACTCATCATTTTACTTCTTGAATGGCTTTCCCGCATATGTTAAAACAACAACAACAAAAGCAAATGGGTATGAAGTCACTTTTCCTCATCTAAAAATCTAAATCAATGAAATCTAAATCTTTTTAATGCTTAGATGTCAGATTTTTTTTTTCAGCAAATGCCTTGGTTTTGGGAAATGGACAAGAATCAAACAACACTTGTGTGTCATGATCATAACACAACTAGAACCATGAAGATTTTCCCAGGTTCCTGGGCGCGGGGCAGAAGGAAAGAAGCAAGGAGACGAGCCCTCGCGTGCGGGTTAATTCGGTGCGGGCCAGTTACGGCTTCCCCTGCATTCTGTACCCACTCGAGTTCCGAGGGGCAGGAGCTGAGGAAAGGCTGCACCAGACCTGCTCTGGGCATGTCTCAGGGTCTTCCTGTGCACGCGAGACAGATCCACGGGGACCCCCAGCCTGCAGGATACGGCATCTCACGGCCTTTCCCGATGAATGCGCCCAGCAACATCCTACGCGCCTGGCACGCTGCAGTGAGCAGACCGAGCCTCGGACAGCTGTCCCTGGGGTGCTTCTAGCCCAGGGCACGGTGCTGCTCTGCTGTCCCAGGGACCTGAGCCTCCAGGGGAGCCAGCCGCCCTCCCCAGGGGGAAGGGCATCCCCAGGGCTACAGGTAAGCCACTTGACTTTTTTTTTTTCCTAGTGAATCATCATGAGATACAGTTGCAGACTTTTTTTCCTAGTGAATCATCGTGAGATACAGTTACAGACAAACTTTCGTGCTTGGGTTTCAGTCATACAAGGATCGAGCACCCATCCCTCCACCAGTGCCCCCGTTCTCCACCGCCAGTGGTCCCAGTATCCCTCCCACCACCCAATCCCCGTGGCAGGACATCCTCTTTTTGAGCTGCTGCTACTCTTTCATTGTTTCCGAACTTCTGAAAGCTTTTCCTCTCCGATTTGATTTCTCTATTGTTATGAGCCTGTGGTGGTTTTTTTTTTTTTTATATTAGTGAGACACCATGAGGTACAGTTGTAGACTTACAAATTTTGTGCTTGGGTTTCAGTTATACAATGATCGAGTACCCGTCCCTCCACCAGTGCCCATTTCCCACCACCATGGGTCCGAGCATCCCTCCCACCCCCCATCCCCCCATCCCACCCTGCCTCTGTGGCAGGGCATTCCACCCAGGATGAGAGAAGCATGCTGAAAGTAGACTACAGACCAAACATGATTGCCACTCAATGCCCCTTTTAAGTAGTTCAATTCGACACACGGTCTGAGAAAATAGAAACACACGTGCGCCCTCTGCTGGTGTGACCGGGAAGAACTTTCTACATATTTTATTTTTTATAAAGTTGTTCACAATAATTCATGACCTTTACTATTCGAACACCAATCCCACCACTGTGCACCTTTCCACCACCATATGTCGAATGTTTCCACCCCAAATTCCAAACCGTGCCCCCACAGCAGAGCCGAGACAGTTAATTTTGTATTGCTTGTTGTGAATAATCCCCTGAAAAGGGCCCAATAAAGTTTCCTTAGGGAAAGTGTGTGAAGACTGTCGCCTTTCACCCTGGAGCCAGTGAGCCCTTGTGCACGAGGTATTTTGATGACGCGATTTTGCTCTCCAGTAAGATTCCAGCTGTCTTAAAAGAGATCCAGGGAAAATCATCGAGGCTTGTGAAGACCTGAGAAAATCCCTAAACTGGGTGGACGGGACCAGAAGACCTAATTTCTCCCCCCACCCAATGTCAGTAAGTCCTAGATTTTTAGGTGTGTAGGTGATTAATCACAAAAGTCAGTATTTCCAGCTTCACTTGCAGGGACAATGGCATGTGGCTTTGCGAAGCTGGGAGCGGGTCCTCCTGAGCACTGCTTCCTGCCGGGAGCTGGGGGTGGGCCTGCAGCAGCCTGGTTCGGTGGTGCCGACACCAACCGGGGCATTCGTGCAAGATAATTCCATCCTCTTTCACACGATCTTTGATGCTGTAACTTTATTAAGGTTTTTTGTTTATTTGCATTAGGGTTGCGGTCATACCCAGCTGTGCTCAGGGCCGACTCCTGGCTCTGTGCTCAGGGCTCACTCCTGGCTCTGTGCTCAGGGCTCACTCCTGGCGGAGCTCAGGGGACCATGCGGGGCGCTAGAGATTGAACTAAGTATTTTCACTTTTAATAGGAAAAAATTTTGAGTGACAATTCTGCTTCTTTTGCGCATGGGACCCCCCTGCTGGTGCTCAGAGCTTGCTTCTGGCCCGTTCCCTCTCTCCCTCCTCTCATAATTCCCTAAATAAATGAATTTTCCTTAAAAAAAAAAAAAAAGGTAGCCGCCTGAAAGCTGCTTCTGAATGTAGAACTACAGTATATCATAAAACCTTTTTTTTTTTTCATTTCTGTGAGGGAAGACAGAAGGTTCTGGAAATACATTCCCCGCATTTTCACAGACTTCCGTTTGGGCTGCTCACCTGGCTTGATTTGGGGCCAGTCCGCTTGTTCGATTCTGTGGTCTTCGTACTCAATGTTCAAATATGCGAATATGTAACGAATGATTTCTCCTCTCCCCCTCATGTTAAAGTAAATGAGTTTGTAGTTTGGCATCCTGTGATTCTGGAGAGAAAGAGCGGGAGGTCGTTTTAACGGGGCTCTGGATTGTTTTGTTTTTTTTCCTTCTGTTTTTTTTTTTTTTAAATGAAGGTAGTAGCAGTTTTTGAGCTAAGTGGAGATACTGGAGGATGTTAACCCGAGTCATGAGCCTGCCCCGAGACAGGAGAAGGACCCGGTGGGGCCTCTCTCTCCTGGCCTCACAGCCGGGAACCGGGTCGCCCTGGAGCACGGCTGGTTGGCTGGTCGGAGCAGGCTTTAGGCTGGGTCGGCCCAGAGACTGAGCACTCCCCTCAAAGGAGGGTCCCCACAGAAGGCCGAGAGGCAGGAGGAGTCCCCGAGGGCAGGTGGGGCACAAGCCCAGAGTTGCCACCTCCCTGGGAGGGAAACTGAGTCTCCCTCCTGCTCTGGGCAACCTCTCACGTTTTGGCGAGCAGTGACAGCCTCCTCGCTCCTGAGCGTCACGGGGAGTAGGGTCGAGAGAGAGTGAGTGTGAGAGAGAGGGAGGAAGGGAGAGAGGGAGAGAGAAAGGGAGGAGGGGGGAGGAGAGAGAGAGAGGGAGAGAGGGAGGGGATGAGGGTGGGGGATGGGGGATGGGAGGGAACCTGGGGACACTGGTGCTGGGAAATGTGCCCTGGTGGAGGGATGATGTTGGAACACTATAGGACTGTGACCATCATGATGGGCTTTGCAACTGTGTCTCTCCGGGTGAGCAATTAAAAAAAAAAAAAAAGACGCAGACTAAAATCAAACCACGCTCTATGCCAAGAGCAAAAGCTTCCCCAAAATAGAGAATCAGGTATCAGACTGAGTCTATAAAATACACTGAAGAAAACATATGCAAAACACTCCAGGAAATTGACTCAAGTGATATCTTCAATGTCAAGGAAAACAAAACCCCAAAGAAATGAAATTACTTCAAGATAACATGTTTCTGGACTGCAGGAAACATATCAATGCCAGGGCCAGGGGGGCGGCTGAGAGGGTGGGCAGCCGTGCTGGGTGGGGAGACGCCCTACGCTGGATCCCGGTACCCTACACGCCTCCGCTCACCTCCAGGTCCACTGCTCGGGCTCGGGGGGGGGGGGGGGCCCATGTGGCCCCTGGACCCCGCTGCTGCGAGTAGTTAAGATGATTAAGACAACGTGATCACTGAGACAACGCGATAATAAGACAACGTGGTCGTTAGGACAATGCGTATGTGTTTCAGGCTGTGGAGAAGGGCCCAGGGGCGTGAAATCAGCCTCAGGTGTGAGAAGTGCAGGCTGATGCAGTGAGGGCAGACGGGTGTGGGGCTAGAACGTTCTGAGACAAGAGAAGGTGCGTGGGAACACCGGAGACCCGACGGCCCAACGCAGAGGAGTGAGACCCAGGTGAGCGACAGCTTTACCTGGGGTTTGGCCGGTTTAGCATGCTACAAACAAGCCTTTGCTTAGGCAAATCACAGTTTCTTTTTTCTTTTTACTGCTACATCTAATGCCGTTCTGTGTTGACCCCGCACAAGGGAGGCTGCATTTACTTCCTGAAATAGTAGCGAAGCAAGATGCAGAAAGGATGAGCTAGCTTCACATCTTCACGATACCTTACTTACTCCGAAGAAGGTCGAGTAACCTTCCTGAATCAATGAATCAAAGAACAGTTAAAATAATAGACAGCTTCAATATTTTACCTGGAAAAGGATTATTTTTGAAAAGTTCTGTGTCGGTGCCCGCCTTGTTTCTCCTCGACCCCTGACCCGGGTTTACTTTCTGTAGCACTGACCCACTTAGCTGCAGTTATTTCATCTGTCACTGTCACTGTCACTGTCCTCCCATTGTTCATCGGTTTGCTCAAGCGGGCCCAGTAATGTCTCCATTGTGACACTTGATGTTACTGTGTTTGGCATATCGAATACGTCACGGGGAGCTTGCCAGGCTCTGCCGTGTGGGCAAGATACTCTCGGTAGCTTGCCGGGCCCTCCGAGAGGGGCGGAGGAATCGAACTCGGGTCGGCCATGTCGGCTGTGTGCAAGGTAAATGCCCTACTGCTGTGCTTTCGTTCCAGCCCTATTTTATCTATAGGCAATTTTAACACAGACATTGATGAAATGCAAGGTAGTGAAAAAAAAAACATTCTATTTTGATCAGCTCAAATACTTCATTGCTCTCCATTATTTTAAGAACACAGAAAAATAATCTCAAAATGCTACTGTACCGGCCAGAAAGCTGAAACAATTCTAACTTAACTCTCTGGCAAATGAAATTAAAATTCATTTGCTATGTTAAATACTTTGAAGATTTCATCAGATAACTGGAAAGCAAGGATTGATTTTTTTAGAGGCAAAAACTCACAAATAAGTAATTAGGTATTAATCATTTTATAATTCACTTCAGAACCTAAATCATATTTGTCTTATTCATGAAAGCTTTGGTCTATGTCAGCTCTTACTCTTAAATACGAGGAACTTCAAACATAATGGCAAATTCCAAAGACAGCTTTGTTTGTATATGCACCTTGTTGGCACAGTGACCTATGGTATGATGAAAACAAAGGTCACTTGTGAATTTGCCAATAGTTTTCCTTCTGTTTCATCTTAACACGACCACTGATAAAATGTAGTGACATAGAGTGTAATGTGTGTATTGCCAATGTGTAGACTATCTTTTTGGAAAAAAAAAAGTAGTATTCAGACTGCAATCACTGGAGATACTATCATTTACATAAGAATCTCTTACATATATTAACATTAAAATACAATACTTTATTTCCTTAGCAGTTGCCAGTAACAAATGCTAGTTATTCCTTTTATTCACAGTGTCTCCAAATAGCTCTAATTCAGTACTAGAAATGTTGCTATGTTGTGTCGCTAGGTAGGACACTAGGGAATCTTTTTTTGGGCTGGGTAGGTTAAGTTAAAAACCTCAATTTTCCCTATCAAAGACCAACTTAAATATTCTTTAAAATAACAGCCTCACAAAAATGCCAGAGCAAGCAGGACCCCCTGGGAGCAGTGAGTTCAGATTCCTACCCTGGGGTAAATAAATCCCTTCAAATTTCTTTGAAACCAAGTTATGAGAAATGCAATTCCTGGCAAAACAAGATGCTCAAGACACAGGCCATAAAACGACAGAAAGCATCACAAGTCAAATACCTCAACTTGAAAAAAGTGAAGAACCATGAAATAGAATTCTCTGCTGCTTCATATGTTGAGAAGCATCTCCTGGGAAATTTTTGGAAGAAGTTATAAACCCTGATTAGAGCGAGGTTTTTCCTCTGGTATTGACGGATTTTCTGTCAAAAAGCACTTGGAGGACCTTTTGGAATCTCTTCAAACTCTCTGAAATCTGGTCTTGCATCTCTCTGCGAAATGACCACTTGTCTGCCCCCGGCCTTTGCTGGAAGGCTCCGGAGGGGACGAGGCTAGAGTCAGGGGAACTGGCAGAGGCTGAGAGGACAGACAGACGGAGGCACAGAGGAAGACAGGGAGACACACAGACCCCGTTCTGCCCACACCACTTACTCACACTTCCCCGGCCGGCCGGCTGTCCGTCGTCGGCAGCGTCTGGTGGTCTGGTGTGCAGAGTTTTCTGCACCTTGGTGTTCTTTGAAGAGGAAGTGAGTCACAAGCCAGAGAGAGGGAAGGCGGCTTCCTTACACCTCCAGGTCTCTTCCTTCGGTCTGGGAGGTGGTTTGCTCGCTCTGCACCTCAAACCAGAGAGCGCTGCCTGCTGCTCCGGGCGTTTCACGGGATGCTTGGATGTAAATTGCCTATTTGCATGCAGTTGGTAGAACCAACGTTTTTGGGTGTGATTTCTCTGTTTGTCTATTTTAAAAATCCTACACCGTATAATATGAGACCAACACCCAAGGAAGTAGAGATAAGGGTCAGGAAGATTGCCTCACGGTTGGCAGTCTGCCTCACGAGCTGGGGGAGGAGGCAGCTGGGATGCAGAAGGGACCACTAAGTCAGTGATGGTTGGAGGGGTCGCTCGGGATGGGAGGTGTGTGCTGAAAGTAGACCAGGGACCAAACGTGATGGCGTCCCAGTGTCTGTATTGCAAACCATGATGCCCAAAAGGAGAGAGAGAGAGAGAGAGAGAGAGAGAGAGAGAGAGAGAGAGAGAGAGAGAGAGATTGAGAGTAAAAGGGAATGTGCCCGCCTTAGAGGCAGGGTTTGGGGTTGGGTGGGGTTAGCGGGAGGGATACTGGGGACATTGGTGGTGGAGAATGTGCACTGGTGGAGGGATGGGTGTTCCGTCATTGTATGGCTGAAATGCAACCATGAAAGCTTTGTAACTGAATCTCACGTTGATTCAAAAAAAAAAAAAAAAAACCAACCCTGCACTGTAAGTTCCTAGGGAGTGAGGACCATGAATCCTGTTTCCACAGATTCACAGGTGGGCTGATGGTTGGCGCCTCTGCCCTGGAGTCTCCCACAGCCTGGCCCTTGCTGCCAGCACCCGGTTGGCTCTGCCTGTTTCCCCTCTGGCAGCCAGTGAGCAGCCCATGGAGGGAGGGAGGTGCCGACACCTGAGGGCCTCAGCGGAGCAGGCGTGACCTGTCGACAAGAACACAGGGCCAGTGGCGGCCATTTCTCTTCCCCTGCAATTGACCGTTTCACTAGAGTTCAGTTTCCAGTGTTGTGAACATATTTTACTTATACTTCTCTCTCAAAAGAGCCAGATTGTTTAAAATAAACTTACAATGGAAGCTTCTGATACTTCTGGTTGATTGCCTTGAAGCAGATCAGCAGCTCATGTTTTAGGGATTAATTTTTTCCTGGACCGGGGTGATAGCTCAGCGGGGAGGATGTTTGCCTTGCATGCGGCCAACCCAGGTTCAATTCCCAGCATTCCATAGATGGTCCCGCGAGCTCTGCCAGGAGTCATTCCTGAGTGCAGAGCCAGGAGGAACCCTGAGCATCACTGGGTGTGGCTCCCGAATTTGTTTTTTTGACTCTTTCACACAAAGAATGATGTCAGGACCAGGGATGCAGCTCAGTGGGGATAATTACCCTGCATGTGTGACACATAGCGGTCACTCTCTCAGGCAGGAGGAAAAACAAGGAATTTCAATGACAATATTAGGACATCGCAGAGAAAAGACCGAGTAAAATATTTATCTATGCAAAACTGGATTTACAGACTGTCCCCGCCCCCTCTGCTGGTGCTCTTGCTCTGCAATACAGAATTTCAGGTTGTAGTTCCACACCCGTATGTGTGTATAAGGGTCACTGTCTACCCCTTCCTGTCCCTTGACCTAAGGACCCCTTGCCTGTTGATCTGATTTCCTCTTTTTTTCATTTTTTAGTTCAAGTTAATTTTGTTGTTTCTTGCCAGGTCCTTGATTTTAGTTATTTACACGCTATAGTAAATGCCTTTAGCTTCCTTGTTTATTCAATTACACGTCATCTGAATGAATGCACTTGGTCCTAACTAGAATAATTTTGGCCATTTGTAAGAACACAGTTGTATTCCACTAAGAACTTTTACCATAGCGGCTTCTCCTGCCAGTTACTTAGAGATGGGGACTTGGATGGAACTCGCATTTCGTGTGTGGTGAAAAATGGTCTGTGAATATGAAGGTACATAGATTGAATTTTAAAATCCGTTTTATTGTTTTGTGCATCTTTCTACATTAGCATTTTCAAGTCCTTAAGATAATTGTCTCAGAGTCGTGCTCCTGAATTGCGTTCTATTTCCACCTTATCTTCCATCCCCATCTGTCCGTTCGTGTGTGTGTGTGTGTGTGTGTGTGTGTGTGTGTGTGTGTGTTTGTGTGCCGCTCACTCCTGTGCTTGTAGAGGGAGCTCCGGGCCTGGGTGACTCCCAAGGATGTGGTATGGGAGGGTTGTTCTGAAGGTTCCGCCCTACTCAGGGCCCCTGCTGTGCCAGGGATGAAGCCCAGACCTGGAGCCCACAGGCTTGTCCCCTACCAGGGATGCCCCCAGCCCGACACTTCGACTCTCTCCTCAGTGATGCTCCATCCGTCTTCCCAAATAGTTAATGCAACCTGCAGTCACCTACGTCTGTTTCTTCGGGCCAACAGTTCCTGTTTCCCAGACTTTCTGATATCAACTATTTGCACAAGCATAAGGTAACAATTAAAAAAATTTTTTAATTTGATCACTGAAATTACAAAGTTATTCCTGATTGGATTTCAGGAGCACGGTGTTTGCACACAGACCCATCACCTGCCACTTCCCTGTACCAACCCCCACCCGGCAGAGCGCCTACACGTGGGATCTTTTCAAGTCTGTCCTGCATCTCTGCACTGTGGTTCCCAGTTCCCTTGCGACAGGGTTTCATCACAACACTTTTCCTGTCAGCACCTCCTCTCCTCCTCCTCCTCCTCCTCCTCCTCCTCCTCCTCCTCCTCCTCCCTGACCCCATCGTTTCCCTCCCTGTAGGTATTTCTGCCTCCCTCCTATCCCCTGAAACAGCCGGTTTTCTACCAAAGCCAGCCATAACTCCTTTTATGGTTTTGATTTGCATTTCCCTAATAATAAATGATGTTGAGAATATTTGCATGTTTCAGCAGACCATATGCATATCTGTTGTTGTTTTTTTTTTAGAAAAATATCTATTCAAGTCTTTGGCCTAGTTTTGGTTGGGTTGCTAGCTTCTTCCTTTTCTGTGGTACGAGTTCTTTGCAGGTTTCATGCATCAGCCGTCTGTCAGACATGATATGCAAATATCTCCTCCGAATTTCTACACTGTGTTTTTGCTTCTGCAACAGGCAAAAATAGAATATTCCTACTTTCTATACTAATTTCCTGCACAGGGGCCTGAGAGCTAGTAGAGCTGGTAAGGTGCTTGCCTTGCAAACAGTCAACCCAGGTTGGGTTCTCTGGAACCGTGGATGGTCCCCCGAGCACTACCAACAGTGATCCTTGAGCACTGAGCCAGGAGGAGTCACTGAACACTGACAGCGATGCCCATCACCCCAAATGTTTTTTGGAGGCCAGATTCAAGGCATGTCTGGAAGCGTTCTTGGCCGAAATTTGGCTTTGTGCTCAGAAGTGACCCCTGGAAGAGCTTGGGGAACCATATATGGTGCCGGAGATCAAACCAGGGTCAACTGCACGTACTCCAAGTGCACTGATGCCCCTGCCTCTCTAGCCAGAGCTAGCACAAGAATATCTCCTTTACCATGGGCGGGTCCTAGGTTAGAACGGTCTTCAGCCAGCAAGTCCCCAAGCGCCATTTGAAATCCAGAACTAATTCAGAGTCCAGTTCTCTTCTTGCTCTCCTTACACTGAGGCCATTGTGTAAGAAGGGGAAGCGACGGTCTGTCAAGACGCCAGCATGGGCTTCCAGTCTAAACCCAACACGCACCAGGGACTGGAGTCTCCGTCCCAGCCCTGATTTGAATTAATTAATCAATCCTTATGTTGCCACACCTGGCAGCATGCTCGGGGCTTCTTTTTGGCTCTGTGCTCAGGGCTCACTCCTGGCAGAGTGACCAGGGAATCTTCTATGGCTCCAGGGATGGAACTCGGGTCAGATGCATGCAAGGCACATGCCCTAACGTGCTGTATTGTCACGGAGACGCCAACAGTTCCAGACTTTTATAGTTCCGGAACTTCTGGCGGAGTCGTGCACTCTCTGCATCAGTTCCCTCGTCTGTAAATGGGTCATGACAAAGATCATTCTGATTTTTCAAGGTTGAGAAGATTAAACAAAATGATGTATTTCATCCACTCAGTGCACTGCTTGGCAAGTAGTTATTGCTTCACTGGCCTCAGTGGTTATTACGTATTCCTTTAGTAATGAAAACTTGGATTTTATTATTATTTTTGGGTTTTGGGGTTGGGGGCTATTTGTGGCCATGCTCAGAAGTTCCTCCTGGCTCTACATTCAGGAATCCTTGGCACTGCTTGGGGGACAGCATGGGGTGAAGCCCAGCTTGGCTGAGTGCAAGGCAAATGTCCTACCTGCTAGACTCTTCCCAGCTCCTGAAAACTTGGATTTTTAAATAGCATCCTCATTAGTTCCTCTTTATTTATTTGTTTCAGTAAAAGAGAAGTGACAAAGAAACCAAACCCATGTCTATTTTCCTAGCTGCTTTGGTGACAAAAACAGAAAGAAGTCACCAAGCTACCTTTATAAAGCTTCTAGAGAATTTTGGTCCTTTTTATTCAAATTAAGGATTTTCTGTTTACGTTATATGAAAATTTAAAAGTACCCCCAAATTTAAAATATTTAAACCTGAAACTTTTTTTTTCTTTTTTATTAGTGAAACACCATGAGGTACAGTTGTAGATTTACAAATTTTTGTGCTTGGATCTCGGTCATACCACGATCAAATACCCATCCCTCCACCAGTGCCCATTTTCCACCACCGGGATAATATCCCTCCCCCCCATCCTCCCATCCCCCCATCCCCCCTGCCACTGTGGCAGGGCATTCCCCCCTGTTCTCTCTCTCCTCCTGGGCGCTGTGATCAGCCAAAGAGGCATTGAGTGGCGAACATGTTCAGTCCAGTCTACTTTCAACCTGCATCTCCCCTCCTGGGAGGATCCTCCAAACACCCTCCACTTGGTGTTCCCCTTTCTATCTGAATTGT